TTTTACTTTTCGCTGGAATCTAACTAAGATTGCAGCGAGATGAAATATTTCATTACAGGTATATTAAACCACAAAGCAACATATTTGGTCTTTGTTCGCAAATGTATACGAATCACACGGTTTTGTTTTAGAAGGAAATGGGCTATTTCAACACCCCACTCCACTCCAAAAATACTCAATGTGCCCAAAATTAGCTAAATTCTGGATCCACTCCGAATCCCGTTCTATCAACAGTGAACTAATTGTTGAGACAATTATGCATGCACAGCATTAATATTCCTGCAAAAATAAAAATATTAAACAAGCCATCTCAATTACACATCTAATAAAAATTTAATCCTGTGTATACTATCAATAATTATCATTCCAGGCACAAAAGTAAAAGGCTGCTAAATAAGTTTGTCAAGCAGGTCACGTCTGCTGCAGTTTGGAGATTTAGAACTTTACACATATTAGAGATACTGGAAGCACATAATGCCCGCTGTGATAATCAGTCTTGCTCGCATATGTACATAAATACATCAGCTGTCTGTATCAATCTGATTTTGTGTTCTCTGTATAAACTGACATGCATTTAAACGTATGTCTGATTATTAATCCCGTTATTATGGGACTCATATTGTCGAAGCAAGGTGTTTATGCATTGTATAATCACGAGGATACCTTCAGCCTTTCCCTACAAACTGATGAAAATGACGTATCTAAGCTATTTTAGGAGCGAGTTTCCTATCTTAAAATTAGAATATATGCACTATTTTCTTATTCGCAATATCTGTAAATCTATTTTCTTACATAAATATTTAGGCCTGCCGTTTACTGAGATTATACATTGCATTTTTAAATCTTCACAACCTGCTCAATTTGTAGTTTAAACTCTAATTTCAACATTTCTCCCATTTTCACAACATCCTGCATTTAATCGAGGACACCCCCTTGGTAGCTGTTTGTCATTTGTATGTATTGATGCGCCTCTGGCGCGTTGACTATAAGGAGTTGATAAAATCAACTCCCAAAAATCATGTAATAATTTTCCTTTCATTTTTTTTCTTTTATTTCCAAAAAAGATGTGCTTTAAAATGATAGTAAATTAACTTAATCTCAACAAGAAATATATTTTTAACAACCAATAAAAATAATCATTGCACGGCAAGATCTTATCATGCTGTAACTAGGATTAACCGTATCAATGATTTACGGTCAAAACTATTGTTAACTAGAGTTTAGATTGTAAACTTACTTAAGTTAAGTTGTGAAATATATAGATTCACATAAAGTTGACCGAATTATAAAAAAATTGTGATAAACATAGTTTTACATTTGAGAAACAGTTTAACGCACGAATCTCTGACTTTGTATTTTTTAAGAATGTCAATTACGTGGTAGTTTACGGTTAAACTATAGTTTACATATATTTACATTAGTTAATTTTAGTTTAGAATTGTAAACCATATCGGTAACAAATCGTGTAACCGTATTAATCAGATAAACTATGTTTTGCAATCGTAAATGGTTGTTTTCAGTGTTAAGTATAAGTTTACACTTGTGGAACTACAGAACTTAAGAGATGTGAAATATATAGATTAAGTTTTACGTTTCGTAAACTATAGTTTACAGTCGATAAACCTAGTTTATTAATTGTGAAACATTTTAGTTCATTTTTAGCTCTACTGGTCAGAGACCAGAAGAGCTTATGCGATAGTAAGGTGTCCGTCGTCCGTCCGTCTGTCTGTCTGTCTGTCTGTCCGTCAGTCTGTAAACAATTTTTCAAAACGCTACTCCTCCTACAGTTTTGGTCTGATTTCAATATAACTTGGCACATAAGTAGACTATACTAAGATACATAATTCCATGTATCAGTTTTTGATTTCAATGAACGGTGTTGCCATGTTTACTATAAATAGAAATTTCTGTGAAAAACTTTCAAAACGCTACTCCTCCTACAGTTTTGATCTGATTTCAATATAACTTGTCACACAAGTAGACTATTCTAAGATACACAATTCTGTGTATCTGTTTTTGATTTCAATGAACGGTGTTGCCATGGTTACTATAAATAGAAATTTCTGTGAAAAACTTTCAAAACGCTACTCCTCCTACAGTTTTGATCTGATTTCATTATAACTTGGCACACAAGAAGACTATACTAAGATACATAATTCTGTATATCGGTTTTAGATTTAAATGAACGGTGTTGCCATGGTTACTATAAATAGAAATTTCTGTGAAAAACTTTCAAAACGCTACTCCTCCTACAGTTTTGATCCGATTTCAATATAACTTGGCACACAAGTAGACTACACTAAGATACATAATTCTGTATATCGGTTTTTGATTTCATTGAACAGTGTTGCCATGGTTACTTTAAATAGAAATTTCCGTGAAAAACTTTCAAAATGCTGCTCCTCCTACAGTTTTGATCTGATTTCAATATAACTTGGCACACAAGTAGACTATACTAAGATACATAATTCTGTGTATCTGTTTTTGATTTCAATGAACGGTGTTGCCATGGTTACTTTAAATATAAATTTCTGTGAAAAACTTTCAAAACACTACTCCTCCTACAGTTTTGATCTGATTTCATTATAACTTGGCACACAAGTAGACTATACTAAGATACACAATTCTGTGTATTTGTTTTTGATTTCAATGAACGGTGTTGCCATGGTTACTAAAAATAGGAATTTCTGTGAAAAACTTTCAAAACGCTACTCCTCCTACAGTTTTGGTCCAATTTCAGTATAACTTGGCAAACAAGTAGACTACACTAAGATACATAATTCTTTTTGTGGATTTTAGATTTCGATGATTGTTGTTGCCATGATTACTAATAATAGAAATTTCCTTGAAATACCTTCAAAATACTACTCCTCCTACAGTTTTGGTCTGATTTTAGTATAACTTAGCACACAAGTAGACTACACTTAGATACATAATTCTCTGTACCAGTTGTTGATTTCGATGAACAGTGTTGCCATGGTTACTTAAAATAGAAATTTTCTTGAAATACTTTCAAAACGCTACTCCTCCTACAGTTTTAGTCTGATTGCAATAAATCTTGCCACAAAAAGAGACTAAACCAAGGATCATTATTCTATGTATTGCTGTTGTAATGTTTGAAGTCTAAGTACTACTTTTATCTTCCTTTATAAGTACAACCAGTAGAGCTACAGTTTCGTCAGAGGCTTCTGGTTGTTAATTTGGCGTGCCATACAGTATGCACATGTCAACGTGAAACAAAATTCGTGCATTTACTGTTTTAACCACCAAATAATGTACATTGCAGTTAGAAGCTCCAGATATTTTTTTAAAGGATGACTGCACTTAAGGACATGCGAAAATTGCGACAAAATAAATTTTCAAAACAAGCATTTTTCTTTTAATTGCAGGAATGGTCAACATATAATGTACAACTTTACGAAATTACATTAAATAAAAGTATATGTATGTATTTACGAAGTACGAAGCTGTTTTCAAAGGCTAGGTCATCACAATTTCTTGAATCTCCGTACGATAATGAGGACGCCCACCTTTTCACTGACTTTGTACATAGTCAGCGCATGTAACAGAAACGACGGAAAAAGACCCAAAACCCAGCGATAAGTGCAGTTATCCTTTGAAAACGTTACGCTACAGCTGTAGTTACGACATTGATACTGGTAGCAGCATGTCATCTCTTCATGGTACTTTTTAGATTAATTTTAGTCTTAAGGACCTTCTATACACTAAAGGAAAAGATTTTTTGGACATTGAGAAAATTATAGTGTGTAAAGGTGTAAATGTTGAGCTTATCTATTACATGTTCAACATAGTGTACCTTGCATTTACCCCCAGGAAAAATGTTCAAAGACAATGAAGTACTGATGAACAAAAATCATTGTTGTTCACTTAAATGGGCAAAATACCAGCAAATTAAAGTGTTCAATCTATTCATCTTAGCCTATTAAAATGTTGTAAATGCTTTATTTGATCGCAAATTAAGAAATAAACTGTACACATCAATTTATCTTATTCTAGATCAAAGGGCAGATTACTCTATCTGCATAAAAATACCACAAATCAGAACTCTTTAGTGTGCAGTGTATAGAGGGCTCTTAAATGTACATCATTTAAAAGTAAACATAAAACTTAAATACTCAATACATGCAAAGTAATTTTTTGACTGTGCCACCTCCCACGTGTTAATTCTTCATCCGTCACTGAAGAAGTTGCATTCCAACTATTTACCGTATTTATTCATAGATTTTTTTTGTCTCAAATAGTCACACGACCAATATTGGTTCATTAGAAAGAATGTTTTGTTTGTTTGTTGTTTAATGTCCCTCTCGAGAATTTTTCACTCATATGGAGACGCCCCTACTTGCCGGTGGAGGGCTGCAAATTTTTACCTATACTCTGCACTTCGGGCCATTGAACAGTGAGGGATCTTTTACTGCGACACGGGGGGGGGGGGGGCGCTCGGTTTATACGGTCTCATCCAAAGGACCGTCTCCACGTCCCTTGAAAGAATGAGATTTTGTTTTTGTTGTTTTGTTTTGCCTGTCAGAACTTTTTTTTCTGTGTGTGTATGCCCTGCCCTCTGGAAAAATTCCCTAAAAAGTAAAACTTGCAATTCCCAAAAAAAAAAAAAAAAAAGACAAGCAAAAACAGTTAAACGATAATTATTTTGTTTGGGTAAGGGGTGGGGTGGGGTGGCGGTCTACTACACATTCATATTATCACATGGACAAGCCACTTTTTTATAGTCCCTGGTTAGTGTTACCTAGGAGGGAGTCCAAAGTCATTCTTGGATTACTTGACTATGTATGAAAATTTCATTAAAAAAAAATCAGTAAAAATCCTACTGGATTCCGACCTCCTTGACCTCCAGTTGGTTGGGTTATAGATAACTATAAATTTATTCATATGTAATATGAGCAAACGATGATTATATCGTGCTAATCCGGAAAAAATTATCTCTGTCCTGCTGACTTAGTTAGTAGACTGTCCCTTTAACCGGAAGTATCCAATCCATGCTGGAGAAACAGAATTCAGTTGAGTTTGACAAAAACAGTTGTTTGTAAAATTATATTATCAGCCACAAGCTGATAAATTTTTAACGTACTACATGATTGTGTCAGTTCAGCCATGGTTAAACCGAAGAACAAAAATAAGAAAAATCAAAACGAAGACTTGTAAGTGTCTGTTATTTACGAAACGTGATGTGCCGAAACATTAATAGTTTACACGTAGAAAAATGAAGGAGAGTAGTTCCTTAATGGAGTTTCTAAAGAGTTAAATTTATGAAATGACTCCCTTTTTAGAATAATTTTGAAGTTATGTTGTGATGTCTTATCAAATGTAGTTACCATGCCAAAAGGAGGGGTACAGATCGTGTAATGAAACATATGGACCTTTACAAAATGGATATTTAAACAATAGACCAAACAAGAAAAAAATTGTAATTGATATGTTATAATTTGATTTTACTTTAAAAAAAATATTGGCTGTAGCAGGTTGAAAATCTTACTGGTATTAAACATGACATGGGCACATGCACCAATATACAACAAGATGTTAAATATGAATGCATGTACAATTTTAATTACCTGTAATTAGCTTTCAACAAAGAAGTTCTGTAAGATTTTACTGTACAGCTGGTAGTTGGTCATTGACCCATTAGCTGATTAAACTTTTTTAGCATGATACAGATACACATAATGTCTATTTATAACTTGTATATTGCACAACGGTTTAAAATTCCCTTTGTACATGTAGTAGTTGCGTATTGTGGTTCTTTAATGAACATAAAGTAGCGGGTTTTCATCTGTATAGTTGTAAGTAAAGTTTTTCTCTCCTCTATTCTATATCTACAATGTTTTTCACTAAAGAAATGCCCTATTAAATTTTCTAACATTAGAAATTAAAATCAGTGAATTATCAGTAAATGAAGATATGTGATAGAATTGCAGATGAGATTTTAAAAGTATATATAATTTAATGGTTTGACATAGAAAAATACCGTGTAAAAAATTCTTTCTTCATGATAATGCTTCACTTGCACCAGCAAAATTTTCTTTTTGTAGCCATTATTTTTCTCATACATTATATTTCCACCATGGAAGAATTATTATAGTTCTTAGTGCGCTCTTTTGTGAAAAGGTCAGAAAATGTACAAATCTTGCGGGATTTCTGGGACAGTCGTAACAACATGTAAACAATATGTTGAATGTCGATAAAAAAATGCCTAACAAACATGCAAATGAGACACTGTATTGTTACATGCATCAGAAGTAGAAACTTCAACAATATCAATTTATAAAATTACAGAAAGTTGTTGACAAGTGTTGATGGTCCATTATGAAATACAGTGTACATGCCTCGGAAACACCATAATTTTAAGCAATGGATGATAAATGAGGGCTTTTGCACTCTCACATATGTCTATTAGTTCTACTCTTTAATGGGAATGACAAAAAATTTAATACATTCTAAATTGGATTGAAATTGGCATGTTTTGTATTCTTCGCTAAAGCATGTTGCCCCAGTCAGACGACCAAACGTGTCTCTAATTTGAAGAGTACCAGTAATGGAAATCGAAAGTATTGGGTTACTAACTGTGTAGCTAATTGGTTGTATTTACAATGTAAAGTTTAGGCCATCAATAAAAAATAATTTGTTTGATGTACTCCAACTGATCCATTAAAATTGTCACTACCCAATCATTTTTTTTTTTCAGTAGTTCAAATTCTTGTTTTGTTTTTTTTTTTTTAAATAGATTTAATATCTGTATTGTTAGCTCACCTGAGCCGAACGCTCAAGTGAGCTTTTCTGATCACATTTTGTCTGTAGTCCGTCTGTCCGTCTGTCTGTCTGTCCGTCTGTAAACTTTTCACATTTTCGACTTCTTCTCAAGAACCACTGGGCCAATTTCAACCAAACTTGCCACAAAGTATCCTTGGGTGAAGGGGATTCAAGTTTGTTCAAATGAAGGGCCACGCCCTCTTTCAAGGCGAGATAATAAAGAATTAGTGAAAAATTAATAGCATCTTTTAAAAATCTTCTTCTCAAGAACCACAAAGCCAGGGAAAATGAAACTCATGTGGAAGCATCCTCAGGTAGTGTAGATTTAAGTTTGTTCAAATCATGACCCCCGGGGGTAGGGCGGGGCCACAATGGAGGATCAAAGTTTTACATAGAAATATATAGGAAAAACCTTTAAAAATCTTCTTCTCAATAACAGCAAAGCCATGATGAGTCATATTTATATGGAAGCATCCTCAGGTAGTGTAGATTCAAGTTTGTTCAAATCATGACCCCTGGGGGTAGGGCGGGGCCACAATGGAGGATCAAAGTTTTACATAGAAATATGTAGAAAAAATCTTTAAAAATCTTCTTCTCAATAACAGCAAAGCCCTAATTGGTCATATTTATATGGAAGCATCCTCAGGTAGTGTAGATTCAAGTTTGTCCAAATCATGACCCCTGAGGGTAGGGCGTGGCCACAATGGAGGATCAAAGTTTTACATAGAAGTATATAGGAAAAATCTTTAAAAATCTTTTTCTCAATAACAGCAAAGCCCTAATTGGTCATATTCATATGAAAGCATCCTCAGGTAGTGTAGATTCCAGGGCTCGACATTAACTTTTTTCCCTACTTGTCCATTCGGACAAGTGACCAAGACATTTACTTGTCTGAACTTCAACTTCACTTGTCCGAAAATTTTTCAATAAAGATCTAATACTGTCAACTTGAAAACTAAAATAAAGTCCATTACACATGACATGTGCTTGATTGATTAGTGATGTTATTGATATTTACAACAAACACATAAAACGAAATTTTATCTAGGCTTTCTGTCCTGACAACAACATAAATGTCCACAAGTGAACCAAACTTCGTTACGTTCGTAAGAGTGAATGTCGATCCCGATCCAATGTGAACTCAATTAATAGCGATCCCTATCGGGATCGAAGTCCGGTTTTTATGTACAGCTTCCGTCTTGAAACTACCGATTAACTTTCACAGTCGTTCTTTTTATTATTTAGAGACTCCTTTACATTAAAATGCACTTGTCCGTAATTTTTTTTCACTGGTACCGGGCAAGCGGACAAGCGTTAATGTCGAGCCCTGGATTCAAGTTTGTTCAAATCCTAACCCCCCGGGGGTAGGGCGGGGCCACAATGGAGGATCAAAGTTTTACATAGAAATATATAGGAAAAATCTTTAAAAATCTTCTTCTCAGGAACAGCAAAGCCCTGATTGATCATATTTATGTGGAAGTATCCTCAGGTAGTGTAGATTCAAGTTTGTTCAAATCATGACCCCCGGGGGTAGGGTGGGGCCACAATGGAGGATAAAAGTCTGAAATAGAAATATATAGGAAGATATCTTCTGATGAAGAACTGCAAAGCCATGATTAGTCATTTTGATATGGAAGCATCCTCAGGTAGTGTAGATTCAAGTTTGTTAAAATGATGACCCCAGGGGATAGGGATAGGCCATAATGGGGGATCGAAAATTTTACATAGGAACATATAGGAAAATATCTTCTTCTCAAGAACTGAAAATTTTGATTAGTCATTTTGATATGGAAGCATCCTCAGGTAGTGTAAATTCAATTTTGTTCAAATGATGACCCCCGAGGGTAGGGTGGGGCCCAATAGGGGGATTGAAAGTTTTACATAAGAACATATAGAAAAAAATTTCTTCTCAAGAACAGAAAAGCTATGTTTAGTCATATTGATTTGGAAGCAGTGTAGATTCAAGTTTGTTCAAATGATGACCCCTGGGATAGGGAGGAGCCACAATGGAGGATCAAATTTTTACAAAGGAATATATGGGAAAATTTTTTAAAAATCTTCTCAAGTACAACAAAGCCATTTGTTATATCAGGGTTCGACACTAACTTTTTAAGGTTTTAGTCCAGCCGGACTAGTGCTTCATTACTTTTACTAGTCCGCACGCAATTTTATTAGTCCGTCAAAAAAAAAAGAAACATCAATGTTTTTTAACATTAATTTAACGTGACAATTAATATACGTATTATTTTTTGAAATAAACAAAGTATTTACGTGAAATATATTATTCCATCGATTCATTGAAATCTCGCAATCAGCAAGTATACGATCGTATTCCCGATCTGGTTTTTTTTTTTTTTTTTTCTTTTTTTTTTTTTGTCTTTCCACTACATCCAAAACGTCCAACATCTTTCTTAAAAGTGTCATACTAAATCATGATCGCTAAAATCTTATACTTCATATCGATCAGTCGAAAAATAAAGCGCTGAATTGACCCAGCATTGCGTAACTACCCGCCAAAAACTAGAAATCTAAAAATACACGCGGGGTTTTCCAGTAAAAGTTGTCGAGAATCGGACATCGGTAATTTATTGATATTGTTTTTTAGAAATTTTTATTGGTCCGTTCGGACTAATTAGCCACATATTTTATTAGTCCGAATGAAAATGTATTAGTCTGAGACTAACGGACTAAGGTTAGTGTCGAACCCTGTTATATTGACATGGAAGCATCATCAGGTAGTTTAAAATTCAAGCCCCCCCCCCCAATCTTTTCAATACTGAACTGATTTGTGCTTTTGCCTTGCCAATGTGCTCAGGTGAGCGATGTGGCCCATGGGCCTCTTGTTTTTAAAGTTGTGTCTATCAATTTTCTAAGATACTGTTTAAATTAAAAGATTTTTCAGAAATAGATAATTTATTTAATTTGTTTAGCTGTCAGGTGTGTGTAATGAAAATTTCTAAGTCTGTGGTTTGTTAGCAATTGTCAAAATGTTAGAAAATATTTAATAATGGAAAAAAAAACTACCTGCCTACCTACCCAACTTGAAAAATGTGGGTCTGAGTAAATCAAACAAAAAAATTAATGATGGCCTTTTAATTGCAAGTATGACAGTTTGTATGTACTTAAATGTTTTATTGTATTGAAAATCTGTACAACACCTGTAGAAAAAAAGTAAATGTATTATGTATTATACTTTGAAAGAAGAGAGCATTTTTTTCATTTCCTTTTTACTTGTTTTCTCAGCGAAGACGAAGTTGACTTAGATCCCTTAGGAGGAAATATTGAAGGTCAAGACCCACTTCCACAAGCTAAACAAGGCAGTAAAAAGAAGAAAAACAAGAAAAAGGATGACTGGTATGACATTCACTGAAATTCTTCTATAGATAATTATAATGTCAAATTTGTAAAACAAAGATGTAAAATTTGCTAATGAAGAATTCACAATATAATGTAATTTAAAGAAATGTGTTATAATAGCTTTTTTCTAAATGTTTATAAAATTTGTTTAGTGGAAAAAGTAATTTGTGTTAAAATGAATTTTGGAAATGATAGCTTTTCAGTTTCCCTTCATGGAAGATGAGATATTTTAATTTTTTGATAGGGAGGATGATGTGGCTTCAGAGATACAGGCATTATCACTACAATCTAAAGGAAGTGGAGAGAGCGAAGAAGAGGACACGATACCAGTGAAAAAGAAAAAGGTAGAACTTATCATCAGATGGAAAGATATTGAAAATTGTACCTTAATGAAAACTGAAGGGTCTCCACTGAGAATCTAAACAGATATGATTAATCAGGGAAGAAGTTGTCATAGAATTTAATGAATAACCTTTATCATGAAAGACATACACAGAATAATTAGTACATGTATCACTACTCTAGCACACATATTTTTAGAATATTTCACATGTTCATCTATGGGCTATTATCAAATTAAATGATTAATAAAATTGAAAAGAAAAAGCTTTTATTCTCCAAATTTTTCTTGGACTAGGAGAAGAAAAAGAAGAAAAAGACAGATTCTGATGAGGAAGAGGAAATGGGGAAAAAACCTAAAGCAACTTTCCAAATGCTTATGATGGAAGATGACAATGATCTTCCATCAGAGGTAAGTATGACAACTGTTGAAAGAAGAAGTGAAACCAAAATTTGCATGAAAAGAAAATGTTGGAAAAAATCTGGCTTTATAAAAATGCTAGAGCACATTTTTTTTATGTCACTGATTTTTAATTTATGGAATTTTCGAAGTTTCAAGATTGTGTGAAAAAAGTTGAAAACTCATCATCTGTTATGGATGTAGTCAATTAATACACTTTTCTGCTCAAGTTATCTATTGAAGTGAGTTTCTCCTATCTAAATTTGTCAGGTATTGGAATGGGGCATCCATAGGGATGAATGTTTAAATAGGTTTATAAATATATTTCTTTCTGTCATTCAAAAACTGCAGGGCAACAGATTCGCTAAAAAATATTTCTATATTGTTAAGGACCAATTTTGTATAAATTTTGACTCCCAGGAATATAAATAATAAAGCTACCATAGGTCTTATTAATTTTCAAGCTTTCCCATGTATTGCAGATTCTAGTTTGTGTAAGTCATGACCCTTAAGTTAAAGTGGAACAACAAAGTTAAAACTTTGTAGATAAATGCAGGTACCTAGGAAATCATTTTAAATATTCTTCATCTAAACAGCAAGGATGTAATTAGGTTATGGATAGACAAAAATTCCTGTGCAGTGCAGATTCAAATTCCTCATGGCCCCTGGGATCAAAGCAAGGACACATATTGTACATGTAGACTTTAGGAAAAACATTTAGACTTTTATTTTGTCAAATTAATACATGTATGCTATCAATGGGGAAAGAAAATGATTGAATTAGTTTGGACAAACTGGAAGGGATCTTGTATATTCTATTGGACAGAGAGAGAGAGGGAGAGAGTAGTGTAATCAGGTGAGCTTTATGGCCTATGAGCCTTCTGTTTTCATAGAGTGACCATGAAGATGATGTAGAAGTAGTATTAGAGAAACCAAAAGAAGAACCAAAAAAGGAAGACACAAGTAAAAAAGACAAGAAAGGGAAAAAGGGGAAGAAGAAAGGTCAGGAAGAGGAAGACCTGGACGCTTTGTTGGCAGAACTGGACAAACCCACAGAAAAAAGTTCTAAAAAGAAAGGCAAGAAAAAGAAAGGTGGAGAAGAGGAGGAAGCCATGGAAACAGAGACAAAAGCAACAGAAAACGGGAATGAAGAGGAGATGGATTTGGAGGCGAAGTCAGAGGTGAAGGTCGTATCTATAGATGATATAGATGATGAAGAGTATGACAAAAAGAAAAGAAAAAAGAAGGGAAAGAAAGATGAAGGGAAAAAGAGTGAGAAAGCTGAAGATGAAGAAGAGAAAGTGGAAGATGGTGAAGACAAAGGCGAAGAAGGAGAGGATGACGAGGGTGGGACAATGAAGACTGCGGCCCAAAAACGAAAGGAGAAAAGGGAAAGAGAAAAACTTAAAAAGATGCAGGTAAAGGCTGTTTGATTAATTTATTAACATCTGAATCATAAATATGTACATTGTTAATGGTATTTTATTTCTCATACCATAAAGATGGTGCATACAGAAAATTTAGTGGACTTTTTCTTATTGACAGAATATCTAACATTTAATAGTATATCATTTGTAATTTTGAATTCATTTTATCTATGCATTACGAAATATTTTTTAGGAGAAGAAAAAGTCTAAATCAAAAGTAGAAAGTAAAGAGTCAACAGAGGCAGGTCAGGAGAAACAGGAAAAACCTGAAGGTATTAGTTAAAGTTTAACTTTTGATACAACTTAAACTGAAGGTATAATTTGAATTCAAAGTGAAGATTCCTTTCCAATTATTAGGACCTATCGTCAAAATGATATGACTGTAAATGCTTTAAACCTGCAGATTTTGGTTTTTTTTTTAATTATATGAGGGCCATTCAAAAATTATGGAGATTTGTTGCACAGACAAAATATCTGCAGACAAAAACACACAGAAAATCACAGATATTAAAAATGAATCTTTTCTTTTGGTCAACAAAATTTCATTTCAAAATATTGTTAATTGATATTAATTCTGAATGATTTCTTTGACCTATTATTCTGTAATCCTGTCCAAATTTTACATTGAAATATATAGCAAAAATCTTTAAAAATCTTCTTTTTAAGAACCACTAGGCCAGAAAAGGTGAAACTTAAGTGGAAGCATCCTGGGGTGGTGTAGATTCTAAATTGTTCAAATTATGACCCCCAGGGTAGGGCAGGGCCACAACAGGGAATCAAGTTTTAGAAAAAATCTTTAAAAGTCTTCTTCTCAAGAACCACTGGACCAGAAAAGCTGAAACATACGTGAAAGCATCATGGGGTAGTGTAGATTCTAAATTCTTCAAATCATGACCTGGGGTAGTACGGGGCCACAATAGGGAATCCAATTTTTACATTGAAATACATGTACATAGAAAAAATGTTAAAAATCTTTTTCTCAAGAATCACTGGGCCACAATAGCTGAAGCTAATGTAAAAGCATCCATGGGTAGTGAAGATTTTAAATTGTTCAAATCGTGACCCCCGGGGGTAGAGTGACTCATTTGAGCTCTGTGGCCCATGGGCCTTTTGTATGCACTGTCAGGGCAAAATTTTTGTTTGATTTGAACAGATTTATCTAGATTCTTTGAGATTTATCAGAAGCAAGTATTTAAGTCAGGAATAGAAGATAATGCATCATCAGTAGACATCTATTTGAAATTCAAATTTAATTAAGGTTTAATCTTTCTACAATCTTAGGTGAAGGAGAACCTACCCCAGAGGGAGAAGAGGGAGAAAAAGAAGGAGAGAAGGATGAAAAGAAGAAGAAAAAGAAAGGAGAAAAAGATGACAAACAAAAGAAGAAAAAAGCACCAGTAAATTATGACTTGAAAAGAAATTTTGAAGAATATTTAATAACTGAATAGTGATTCTACAAGTGTAAAGCATTAGAAACTTTATCCCTCCTTCACATGTAAATTTTATAGTTTAATATTGAAATATTACATTGTGAAATCTGTAGGTGGCTGCCATTAAGTTGATGCAACAGAAATTGAAGGAGGAAGAGGAGAGGTTAAAACAAGAGGAGGAGGAGAGGATCAGAAAAGAAGAGGAAGCCATAAGACTCGCTGAGGAAAAGGTACTGTATATCACTAAGATTCCACTTTTAACTATTTTCACAGTTTTCTGAACAAAATTTGCTTTTGCTCCATTTTTTACCTTCATAGTTTCTCTCCCATTTCAGCTGTTAATTTCTTCTTCTTTTTTTTTTTTTTTGTCCTACAACTGATGCAGAAAAAGTAACGTAGCTGTTCACAACATTTAATAATGTCTCCCATTTCCTTTTCTTAATTGAAGTATTATAATGTTTGAATGTATTACTTTTGTTATGCATTTTTTTTATTGCATATTGAAGTAAATTAGTAATGCCTGTCAATCTCACAATTATTTGTCAGTACATTCTTGAAAAGTATTGCTAACAATATTCCTCAATCTTTTTTTCCTCCAACAATGTTTAAAGCAAAAATTATAAAATTCAAGAGTGTTTTTCTTTTTTTTTCTGGGGTTCTTAGAAAAGATTAGAAGAGGAAAGAAAACAGAGGAAAAAGCAAAAAGAGAAAGACAGAATAGAGAAGATGAAAAAGGAAGGAACTTACCTAACAAAGAAGGAGAAGCAAGACAAAGCTAGAGCAATGCAGATGTTGGAGCAGATGAAAGCAGCAGGTAAAGAAATGCATCTAACAATGGGAAGTTCTTACGTTGGATGAATCTGTACGAGTACATTTTTAGATGATTACTTTCTCATAATGATTAAAATGTGCAATAAAATATCAGTTGTAGCTTAATTTCAAGTTTTAATCCATTTGATATCATGATGGGTTTGCCTCTTTGTCCTTCAATACAAATAAAAAATTGCTTGACCCTTTTTAGGTCACCTGAGTTACTTAGGTGACCTATTGCTCTCTGTTTTCATCCGTTGTCATGCGTTGTGTGTTAACCTTTGAACATTTTCAGCTTCTTCTCTAAGACCACTGAAGTAATTTCTGCCAGTTTTTGCATATGACATCTTGTGAATTTCATGATATCCCCCCCCCCCCCCATCCCCGGTGCCTGAAGGATGGGGCTAAAATCATCAAAATTGATGCGCTCTTAAAAATCTTCTTCTTTACTCTTGGACATCAAGCAGTTAAACTGTTGGCATGATTTTAATAGGCACTAAGTCCTTTACCAAAATTGTGAAATTCATTGTCCCCAGGGCAGGGGTTCTGGAGTAAAAGTGGGGCTCTATTGTTCATAAAGTGGAAATGCATAATTTCTTTAAAAATCTTCTTCTCTGCCCCTGGTTATTTAGTAGTCAAAGTAAGTGCATGGTTATGTTGAACAAGGATGCTCCTTCCAAAATTTTGAAATTCATAGCCCCAGGGTCAGGGGTTTTATAAAGTGTTAGGGTGGGGCTATATTAATTATATAGTGAAAATATATAAATTCTTTGGAAATCTTCTTCTCTACTCCTGGGTATTAAGCAATCAAAGTATGTGCATGATTATGGTGAGCAAGGATGCCTCTTCCAAAATTGTGAATTCACACCCCTGGTTCAGGGGTTTTGGTGTTAGGGCGGGGCTCTGTTGATCATTTAGTAAAACGACATATGTTTTCTTTAAAATTTTTCTTTTCTGCTCCTGGGTATTAAGAAATCAAAGTGAAAGCATGATTATGATAAGAAAAAAATGCATCTTCCAAAATTGTGAAATTCATGGTCCCTTGGTGTATTGATAATATACTGAAAACAAAAATTTCATTGAAAATCTTCTTCTCTGCTCCTGGGTATTTAGCAGATAAACTAAATACATGGTTATAATAAGCAAGGATACTTCTTTAAACATTATGAAATTCATGGCCATAGGGTCAGGGATTCTGCTGCTGGGGGGGAGGGCTCTATTGTGTAGTGAAAATTCATAATTTCAATGAAAATCTTAGTTGTAATGAGCAAGGGTGTTTTGTACTAGCAAGTCTGTTTTGCTGATCCCTGATTATCCTATTTCTCTTGCTTTTGAGCAATATATCTTCATCTCTCAGTTTATTTTTTTTATTTTGTACTTCAGTGGATCCTTTACAGTGTTGTATTGTACTCTGGTGACCAGTAAGGCCCTTCGGCCTCTTGTCAATTTTTAATGCAGAAATTCTTAGGCTGAAATTTCATGTACATTTCCAATACATGTATTCTGATTTGGAATAGGCATAATGTATTGATTAACAAGTTCCGTGTATCCATATATGAATTATAAACTTTTAATTATTAATGGATATACATGTATAGCATTTGGATTACAAATTATCTTATTCATGCCAGTTTTGCCATGGTAATTGTGTTTGTGAGTAAATGTATTTCATAATTATAGGAATTGAAGTGCCCAGCAAGGAAGACGCTCCAAGGAAGAGACCAGTCTATGACACAAGAAAGAAAAAGAAAACGCAACAGAAAACAGGTACAAAGAAAGTTATTGATCTGTGTAAAAATTGACTAAAATGATTGCACAAGTAGGCCATGCAGCACACATTATAGGTATATTGTAAACAATTTTTCCTTCTCAGTAAGTAAACTTGATGGATTTTTTGAGAATTTGGGAATCAATAATTGTCTGTACTTGTGATTGAGTCAATTACGATTCTTGTATGCTAGGCAATCTTGTTAAAACAAAAAAATCTGAAAAAATCATGTGGATATCTTGATCTGTATTGAAGCATAACCATTAATGAGAATGCAGTCATGAAAATTGTATCCTGCCTTTCAATTAATCAGTTCATCCAAAAAATGTGAAGAAGAGGACTATTTTTTGCCCCCGTAATCAAAGATTCGGGACATATAGTTTTGGTCTGTCTATCCATCTGTCTCTCTGTTTGTCCGCAAGAACTTATACCTTGGTGATAACTTTTGAATAGTTGGTGCTAGGGCTTTGATATTTCTTGTGTATTCCTTGTGTTAAGACCTTTCTTTGCATACTAACAATTTATGACCTCATGACCTTGACTGTGGAATTTGACTTAATTTAGAAGAATTGTAATTTCCACCATAACTTTTGAACGGTTGGTGTTAGGGCTTTTGTACTTCACATGTATTTTTTATGACAAGACCTTTCTTTGGGTACAAACATTTTTGACCTCCTTATGTTGACCTCGGAGTTTGACCTACTTTGGAAAAACTTTATCTGGGCCAAGAGCTGCCTTATGTGGGCATAAGTGTTTCACAAACACATCTTGTTCAATTTCTAGAAGATGAAGAATCTTCAGATAAAAAATCTGAAAGTCCGGAAGAGATGACCCCTGAACCAGAGGTCAAAGAGGTTGAAGAAGAGAAAGAAGCCAAGCCTGCTAAAGTTGAAGAGGAAGATGATATTAAAGATGACTGGGCTGCCAGCAGTGAAGAGGAGGAGGAAGAGGAAGAGGAAAAAGAAACAATAAAAAATGGTATTTATTCATGGGTGATCTCTTAGGAAAGATGGAAGATGGCAAAGAATTCTGAGAAAATTATGGTATCATTTTTACTAGCCAAGTGTTTCTGATATGCTTGTCTCCATACAAATGCTTGGCCTATCATGCTATTTAAAAATGGATATTTTTTCTCACATGATCTGGAATTCCACCTCTATACACAAAGGTTGCATCCTAGAGGATAATACCGAGTGTAATAAATTGAAGTATTTAGATATTCAACAAGCCCGAAATATTTGAAAGAGTGCAAGTATATGTATACTGTAAACATACTTATTTTAGCAGTAATTACATTTTATCTCTTTTTGCACTGCTTCATGCACACACACTAATACAATTTAAACTTATACTTGTCCTTTTCTGTTAATTTATGATTGCACTAATCAGTTGAAGGGGTACTGTACAGCAGGAAATTAACTCGTGGAGTTAATATTCACTATATTCGTGGTTGTGGAGTTAATATTTGCAGAAATAAAAATTCAACGAATTCAACATACAGTGAATAATTCTTCAAAAATTGAAATTTTACTGTTATCTCTGATTAGATTTGTTAACTCTATCTGTGTTTCCTTGAAAACATAAAACCAGTTATTAATATAGGAGAGATGTAGACTGTCTTCCTAACTCTGAGGGTGTACAGATTAATCACTAACACATAGTTGTTGATGTTTTTAAAGCTTAATTGATAAATATACATCTATAACTAAGGCCTAAAAAAAAAATTGTGTGTTTCGGGTAACATTGAGGAAAAAATTAGGGTAGGTAGGTAGGGATATTTTTTTTTTTTTGGATTTTTTTTTGTATGACTTGAAATAAAAATAGAAAATCCTGAGAATATTCTTTTGTATTATATTTAACTCCAACGTGTTTGAAAAACATCAGACAACTAAATTTTACAAAGTTTCATATCATTTTAATTTAAATTTTCATTTTCTCTTCATTTTAGTAAATGTGATTAAGTTCCAAATATGTGTTCGACCCTTGTGGTTACAATCCGAGTGGTTTCATTCTGAATCAAAAAAAAAAACCAAACAAACAAACAAACAAACAAAAAACAGTTAATGGATAATTTGAAATTCTTTTATTATATCTCTTCTGCATAGGAAAAGTATCATTTTTACACAGATCACATTTTCTTAATCATTAACTGATTAAGATGGTTTTAATTATTATATTTACATTTCATATGCTGTTTGAATTCAGAACAGTATCATCTTTATTTATACAATTCATTATTGTAATTTTGAAGCAATTATATTTTTACCAGTAAAGAAGGTTTTTGATCTTCAAAGAAGGCTGTAATTGTGTGAATGTTAATTACCTAGCTATTGTTTACAGTGCAGTTTGTCCTTGCGTTTGTGGGTTCTTTGAACTTCTTTCCAGAACATTAAAAGAGGTTTTGTTTAATGAAAAAAGCGATCTAAAATACTCTAACACACATTTACCAAAATCTAAGAAAAATCTTTTATAAGGAAAATAATTTTTATTATTATGTACTTAATCATTATTCGTGCTATTTTGATGACGGAAACAATCTAAGTGACACGAATATCTATTCAGCCATTTGCTCTCTATTGACAGCAACCGTACACTAGTGTGTTTACTACAAACCTGTGTCAGTGTGTGTTTGTAAACACGTTGGTTCACCTTTGCGCGTGTATATACGTTGGCTTATACATATGCAGTATGAGACCACGAGGGTCGAACACGTAATCGGAACAAAGCCACCCAATATCATTTCAGCTATGTCACAAAACTTTTGAATAACAGAAATATCAGTGTCAGAATTATATTATCAAAAATATTTCCCATTCCATGCCGTCGAACACGTCATAGAAACGCTTGCATGTGGACTTAAATATCGTTAATGTGTTCACAGTAAGCCTAAGCATTTTAAAGACGTTTCTTAGGATCGAGAAAAAAACATTTTGATAAAAACGGATTTTACATAGAAATAATAGGAATTTTAATCGGATAAATACGGACATTGGAAAAAAATTTAGGATCGGCGCATTTTTATAGGTTAGGTCGGGTTACCCGAAACACACAAATTTTTTTTAGGCCTAACATTTAATTCTGCCATCCAGTAAGGTGTGATGTAATTACCTGTAAAACACATATTGTTAGACCCGTGCATATCACTCAGTCTTATTATCTTTAATCGAGGCATTTACGTAGTAAATACAACACTGTTAAACATTAATTCAATTTTATTAACAGTTCAACAATTTGACTACTGGTACCAACAAATGAATTAGATTCAGCAGGATTTAAATATACTGCAGTAAATACTACTCTGTACTTCTATGAATGAACACCTGTCAAAGGACATCTTATTTTACAAGAATGTTAATAGGTTTAGATACGACTTAAAATTTATCTGAATGCATAACATTGTAAATCATAGAACATTTTGACTTCTAATCGGGATCAGTCATTGGTTTGTTATATTTAATTGGGTTGAAAATCAACACAACACGCTAGGAAAATATTTGCAGTGCTGGAAAAAAGTTTTTGTATAAATTTTCCTTTCCCCGAATTCAAAAGCCGTGATTTCCTGCAAATTGAACAAATCACGATCTTTTCTGACTGCGATTTTAACCTGCTGTACAACAGATTGTGGTAAATTTTGAGTGTGCTAATTTATGTATGTTTACAGTATATGCAACGTACACACCAGGTCACAAAACTGTATACAGGGTTATTTTTGCACCATGTTGTTTTTGCCCTTTTTCATTTGCAAACATTTTCACTACATTTTAAATTCGCCTTCAAAAATGTGTAAAGAGGGAGCAATAAAGTTTCCTGTTGATTCACCCCATTTTGAATTCACCCATTCAGTATGAGCAATAATGGTGGAAATAAAACAAGGGCTAATGTTTCTCTTTAAACAGTACATTCTGTCCATGTAAAGTTACTTGGCACCACTGATATTTAAAGAATGGCATTACTGTTATCTTATCTGGATCCTTGCTTAAAACTTTTCTTTCCTTGGAACATTGTGAAGAAACATTCAGAATGGAGAGATTTCAATGGCATAGCATTGCAGAACTTTTGTTCATTGGATGTGCCTTAACAATTGAGGCAGTCACCCTTCACAAAAAATCCTGCATTTTGATAATATGATAGGTCAAGGTATTGTTGGATGAGAAGCATATGAGAAACACAACATTAAAGTTGTTATATATAATTATGTTGTTTAAGTAATGAGAAACTCTTTTTACTATAGTGGAACCAAAGAAAGTGGAAATAAAGGTAACAGACACAAAAAAAGCTCAAAAACAAGAAGAGGATGAGGAAGAAGAGGATGAAGACGAGGAAGAAGAAGATGAGGAGGATGAAGATGACGAGGAGGATGACGAGGAAGAAGAAGAAGAGGAGGAGACAGAAAGTGAGGAGGAATCAGAAAGTGAAGATGAAGATATGACACCAATAGAGAGAGCAAGGGCCAGAATCATGGTAAAGTGAACAGTCAGTTGTTCATACAAGTAGGAATTTAAAATTTCTGTGTACAGTGGAGCCTGGTTCATCCGGATGCTTCACCTTCATTTGTGGGGAACATTTTATACTTATATATACCAAATATGTTTAGTCGCCTGTGTGGTGCAGTGGATAGAGCATCTGCTCTAGAGTCGCGAAGTAAGGAGTTGATCCTTACGTCGCGGGTTTGAATCCCACTGTGGGACGTTGAGACTGGTCCTTGGGATGAGACTGTATAAACCGAGGTCACATGTAGGTGCTGGCACGAAAAAGATCCCTCACTGCTCAATGGCCGTAAGTGCCAAGTATAGGACAAAATTTGCAGCTCTCCACCGGCAAGTGGTGGCGTCTCCATATGAGTGAAAATTTCTCGAGAGGGACGTTAAACAACATACAAACAAACAAACCAAGTATGTTTCAGTTATCTGGACATTTTATTGATCTGTACAATTTTCTTGGGAACACATGCGTCTGGAATAACAAGGCTTGACTGTATTCTAAGCTGTACATAGCATTGTAATTTTGTTCATAGCTGCAAGAGTTCATAGTTTCATATTACCGTAAGTTTTGGAAGATAGGACGATACTTTTTTTCTCAGAACCGCTGGGATCGTCCTATTTAACGAATCGACCTATCTAAGGCCCAAGTTTACGAAAAATGCCTCAAAAATCAGTAAAATTTACGTCAATTTTAAAGCAAATCTATGCCATTTTTGTATTTTTTTAAAATTACTTTACCGAGAAAAAAAATAATAAACAATAAAGAATTAAATACTTATTCCATTGATTTCTTACAAAATAAGTTCCATTAAATATCCGTCGATGTACAAAAAAACTTATATATCATCAATAATGTCTCAAAGTCATGCTGTGTCCATCTTGTGAAGTTGGAAGTCGCAATCGTTTACTAAAAATAAAACCGCAACCGTATCAAAGTTTAAAATACGGAGGAGTTTTCACAATCGCAATTGAATTTTTTTTTTATTACCATTTATTTGTAACGATTAATTGAAATAGTATACCAAGTAAATATTTTTTCATTGTCTTGTGATATTTATTTAAATGTAAAATGTGTGAAATAAACTGTTGCCGGTAAATTCCTAAAATTATTTACCAAATATACCGCTAGTCATATATCCCAAGGGGTACACCGAATTATACAAAGATTGGCTTCTAATAGAATTTTAATTGTCTGACAGATAGAGGGATATACACTGTGTACACAAAGGTGTTAACACCTGTTGGTTTAAACACCTGCGGGGCATGATTAACAGATCCACGTGCTGTTACAGGGGTATTAGTACTATATTGTTTGATTTCGGGTATTTCCCTAATTATAGCTGTTGTATACTACCGTATTTATGTGTTTAACGACGGAGTCAAACAACGACGGCGTTGAACAGGCAAGTTGGAGAAAATGCGTTATATCACAATTCAAGGAAGTTTTAACTATGTTTGTGTAAAACACTATTAAAATGCTGTACTCATAAAAATACCAGTTTATTTTCTTCATACGTTAATATCACGGGTTAAGTGAAAGACCTTTACATGTTCTGATATGTAGTTTCTAGGTAAGAATCTCTAGAAAGTCGATAAACAAAGCCTCGTCCTATCTTCCAAATCGTCCTATCTAAGGATTTTTTAAAAATTATGGCTGAAAATGAGCCTTTCGACCTATATACCCCATCGACATATACCCCAAAACTTACGGTATTTTGAATTACAGAAAAGAAAGGAGGAAGCAGAGAAAAAGAGGAACCTGGACAACCTGAGGGCAGCTGTTATCTGTGTGCTGGGTCACGTAGATACAGGAAAAACAAAGATCCTTGACAAGGTAAGACAAATACAGAACCATTTACTGTATACAGGGTTATTTTCAACCTGTGTTATTTTTGCCCTTTCACTCTTACAAAACGATTTTGTCCCATTTTAAATTCACCCAGACATGTTGTGTTTAAGAGGTAACTTTGTTTTCTTTGAATTCATCCAGTTTTAATTTCACCTGCTTGCTAGAAGGGCAAAAGGGGCGGAAATAAAATGGTGGTGAAATTTTCCCTGTATACACTGTCAGTATAATTATCAGCAAGAAATGATTTATATATATTTGTAAAAGATTGTTTAAAATACACAAATTAATACATGTAAGTCAGTGATTTCATTGTGATAAATATATGTTCATTTTAATTAAATTTAACCATGTTGTATATTTGTATTATAGTTGCGTCGAACACATGTGCAAGATGGTGAGGCAGGAGGAATCACTCAACAGATTGGTGCTACCAATGTTCCACAGAGTGCTATCCAGGAACAGACAAAGATGTGCAAGGAGGTGGGTACAGTAAAGAACTTTCTTCACTAAATTGTAGATGAATTATTAGAAATTTTTGAATTGTTATCCAGCAATTAAGAAATGGCAGTTTTATTCCTTCTTTATTAGCTCACCTGAGCTAAAAATTCAAGTGAGCTTTTCTGATAACTTATTGTCCAGTGTCCATCCATCTTTCTTCTACTCGTCTATAAACTTCTCACATTTTTGACTTCTCTAAAACCAGTAGGTCAGTTTTAAACTAAGTTGACACAGAAGCATCCTTGGGTAAAGGGGATTTGAAAGAATTTTCTTCTCCGTAATTGCAAAGCCCTGTTAGTCATATTGATATTGAAGCATCCCCATAGTGTGTGGAGTCAGACACCTTAGAGTTAGGATCGGGCCATAATATTGGTTCACAATTTTTTGTGGGAATATAAAAATTTGATGAAGAACATTAGGGCTAAAGTAATTCAGATGAGCATTGTAGCCCATGGGCATCTTGTTCCATTCACCTTTCAAAAGTTGTTTTAGGATCTTCTCAAAATATAGCATTTGGAGTGCATAGTTTATTTGTTTGAGGCTTCAAATGACTATAAAGATCTTTGTTCTTATTAAATGGGCAGTTATAATTCATACAATGGACCATTACTCTCCTACATAGACTAGGATATATTTTTATAAGAAGAGTTGTCTATCTGTACTCAGTTTTTTCCACTTTTTTTATACATATTTAGGAAAACATGAATGTATATGTTTGAGTTAATTCATATAAACAGTAAAATTTGGTAAAATTACATACAATTAGTACAACTGGTGTGTATTATAAACTTCTCCTTTATAACTTACATGTATTTATTTATTCTTGATTTCATAGTCAATGAATCACACAGGTATATATACAAATTGAATAAATTGATCACATACTGCATCTTTAATTCGTTTGCTTGTGAATATGTGGAAGGCAACCTGAATGGGTTATTAGAATTCTATGAGACTTGTTTAATTCATGACCCCCCGAGTCCACGATTCAGGCCTCAGGGTGAATTTTATTTTTTATATATTTTGAAGAATGCATTATGTCTTAATTTTTTTTAACTCCTGGACAGGTAAAAGGTAAACCATTTGCATGATTATACATGTAATGAGCAAAAATGACCAAAAGAAGTCATGACACCAGATGCAGGGTTATAATGTTCCAATTCAGGGCTATGTTCATTTCATGCAGACAAAGTACCAGTGACCCTTAGTGATATAATGATTGTCGCCGACTTCCAATTAGTGGTTGTCGTAAATGAAATTATGTGTGTAATCGATTGTTATTTAAAATCGAAAATCGTTGACATCATTAATTTTTCATTGTATGAACTAACCTAATAATAATGAAATTGAGAAACGACAGATCTATCCTTTTCCATAAAAATCCAAATTAAACAACAGCCCGGGAAATTGACATGCATGTTAGGCACTTTCCTTTGACCTTTTACTTGGCAAAATTAATATTCAGTTGTAAATATCAAGAAATTAACACAAATAACTTTCAAAGAGTTATCAAAGAGAAAACAGTTGGAAAATGTAAATATTGATTGATTAATCAAAAATAATCAAAATTTATTTAATGAGATTACAAATTTATATTGATATGATTTTACCCTAAATTAAAAATAAGAACATTTTTAAAAATGTGTATTCCATGAAACCTGTTATAACAACTGTATATGTGACCGGGTTATATAGATGAAGAACAACACAGTTTGTATAAGGATCCCATTCCACTGGAATCAATCAAACAAAAAACCAAATGGCCCAATAAGAAATAAAATGAAATAAGTAAATGACATCAAACAATATATTCAATTATATGCAGTCCTCATAAATCGACACTGATTTTACTAAAAATAGATTTAACCAATTTTAAATATTCAGAATTCATAGAATGCATAAAAAGGGAAATAACTCTTACAAATTACAGAACTTCAAAAATCATGTTCACATAGGAATTCCTGTGAGTATGAATAATTTATCAGAATATATTCAAAACATATAAACAAGTAGTAATTGCTATGGTGTACTAATTTATGGAATTAGGCAGACTATGCAGGTATCTGCAAGTTCAGATATTTACAAATCAACCTATATAGAACAATAATCACAGGTTCAGCCATATTTAATTCAAGACAATGGCTGATTGTGAAAAATAATAAAATTATACTTTCGAATTACAACATCTACATCTAGCATTGCATACAATCAATATGATAAGTGAAAATACTACTTTACAAAATACAATGAACTTTATTTCATCACTTCACTCATTCTCTTTTTCAACCAAAGAAATTATATTGTGAGAAAATAGAAAGATAAAAAGTAAAAAAAAAAAAAAAAAAAGAAAACATATGGAATGTGGTCTGTGTAATGATCATAGAAATCATCTTTGTAAAACATGTCATTTATAACTGATCCAAACCAATTGAGACAAAATCGTCTACCAGCCATAATGTTGGCTGTCCATGTGAGGAGTACCCCTGCACACTATAGCTACCCTGAATAATAGAAAGTTTACTGCCAAAACCCTTGGCCAATAAAACTACTTACAACATATATCAAAGGTGGACATGGTCAGCCAGCCAGAATAATTAGTAGTAGCATGCAAAATTAAATAAGTAAAAGTGCAATGATGAGAATGATGAATGATAACTATTTAACAACATTTGAGATAATAAATGATAATTCTTTATTTATTATTTTAAAAACAAACCCACTCTTCCACATATATTTCATTATTTGCTACAGTCAGTATCATGCTAGCAAACTTCCAGTAATTTGTTTTTTGACCTTTACCTTTCCTTAGACATTTACCTCACTTTTCTTAAATTAGTGATTATATCGATGTCAAAGAAACTTAAGATATTTTTATCAAACCTTTTATGCTTATTCATATTGATGAGTGTTATTCAACTGCATCAACATTTTTAGCTGACTTCTGAGCCAAAGGCTCAAAGAGCTAAAGCTATGGCCATTTGTGTGGTGTGGGTACACTTTTTAGAATATGGGCCATAACTCAAGAACCCCTTGGCCAATTATTGTCAAATTTGTCACAGGGTATCCTTGGCCCAAGGGCTCCCATTTGTAATAAACTAGGGTTGTGACCATTAAACAAGGGAAGATAATTAGGTAAATAAAACCAAAAGTACTAGTTGTTAAAAAATCTTCTCAAGAACCACTGGGCAGATTATCACCAAACTTACACACAAGGATGAAAATATGTTGTAGATTAAAATTTGCAAGGGGAATCGCCCTGGGGCAAAGGGCGTGGTCTCAATGTCACTTCGAAGTTGATCAAAAATTACATTTTATTAGAATGTTGAAATTTTGTTAACTATAAGGACTAGGATCTTGTCAGTTAATGCATCTAAGAACCTCATATCATGCTGACTCAAAAGTAGGTCACGGTGACCTACTATTCAAATTTAGCAGCCATTCTGTTTCAAAATGATTTAGAGGCATATTTTGAACAATTTAAAGCCTATGTTCATCAAACTTTATAAGTTGATGCATCTTGTGCCCTCAGAGTATGTCAAGTAAAAAGTAGGTCACCTTGACCTACTTTTTGAATTTTATGGCTAACCTTTTTCAAAACATTTAAAGTCATTTATTCGAATACTGAGAGGTTTAGAATCATTAAATCTTGTAAGATTATGCATCTTGGGGCAATAAAACATATTTATTAAAAAGTAGGTCACAGTGACCTACTTTTTGAACTTTGCAGGCATTCAATTTCAAAGAGTTTTAGAGGCATATTTTGGACATTTTAAGGCCTATGATCATAAAACTTTGTTGGTTGATGCATCTTGGGTTCTCAAAAAACTTCAACTGAAAAGTAGATCACTGTGACCTACTTTTGAAATTTTATGGCTATATTTAAATATTTTGGGTATTATTTGGCTTAGAATCATCAAACTTTGTCAGTTGATGTATCTTGGTTCCTCAGAGAAGGTCGACTGAAAGTAGGTCACCATGACCTACTTTTTCAATTTATATGGCTATAATTAAATATTTCAGGTACTAATTGGTTTAGAATCATCAAACTTTGTCAGTTGTTGCATCTTGGGTCTTCGGAGTAAGTCCACTGAAAAGTAGGTCACTGTGACCTACTTTTGAAAATTTATGGCTTTAATTAAACAGGGTTCGACACTAACGTTAGTCCGTTAGTCTCAGACTAATACATTTTCATTCGGACTAATAAAATATGTGGCTAATTAGTCTGAACGGACCAATAAAAATTTCTGAAAAACAATATGAATAAATTACCGATGTCCAATTCTCGACAACTTTTACTGGAAACCCCCGCGTGTATTTTTAGATTTCTAGCTTTTGGCAGGTAGTTATGCAATGCCGGGTCAATTCAGCGCTTAATTTTTCGACTGATCGATATGAAGTATAAGGTTTTAGAGATCATTATTTAGTAGGACACTTTTAAGAAAGATGTTAGACAGTTTGGATGTAATGTAAAGACAAAAAAAAAAAATAATAATAGAAAAAAACGAGATCGGGAATACGATCATACTTGCTGATTGCGAGATTTCAATGAATCTGTGGAATAATATATTTCACGTTAATACTTTATTTATTTAAAAAAATAATACATATATTAATTGTCACGTTAAATTAATGTTAAAAAACATTGATGTTTCTTTTTTTTGACGGACTAATAAAATCGCGTGCGGACTAGTAAAAGTAATGAAGCACTATTCCGGCTGGACTAAAGCCTTAAAAAGTTAGTGTCGAACCCTGTTAAATAGTTCAGGTACTAATTGGCTTGGAATCATCATATTTTGTCAGTTGATGCATCTTGGGTCGTCAAAGTAGGTCAACTGAAGAAAGGTCACTGTGACCTACTTTTGAAATTTTATGGTTATAATTAACTTGGGTTATCAGAGTGTTTTATCTAAAATGTAGGTCATGATGACCTACCTTTGGAATTTCAAGGCTTTATCTAAATATACAGGATACTTAGAGGCTTCAAATAGAAGTGATAGGCTGTACAATTTATCAGAAGTGTGATTCAAGGCCCTTGGGCCTCTTGTTTGACCTTGACCTTTTCTTTGACCTTGACCTCATTTTTCTTAAATTATTTTTAAGCTCAGTTTCAAAGAAACTTTTTAAGATATTTAAATCAAACTTAATATGGTGAAACATATTAGTGAGAGCTATTCAACTGCATCAATATTTGTTTCTCTGATGACAGTGGGCATGGACATAACATGGAAAATAACATTTAATGCAGTGGAAAAATTACATCATTTTTTTTTATGATCATAATGTGACACTGAATTTTTTTTTGTTTTCATTCTGTAAATTTTGCCAATATTTAGGTAAACTGTAAAGCCCTATTCCACAGATGGATTATCATCCTATTTTGTTGTTTTTGAATGTCATCTCAAGTTCTCCATAGGATCAGCTCTAACTCTGTTAGTTCCCAGGAGCATTTAATACCATGATATTTATGCTGACTAGATCAATAAAACTCTCCATTGCCAAACATATTTTCAATACCTCGTCACAAAGATTAAGGACAATGGTAATCAAGGGAAATATGGCCTTCTTTGTTCAAATCATGGTCTCTGCTGTGTTTTGAACAAGTCCCAAAAATACCTTGAGGATCAAAGTAAAACTACTTTGATCTTAATTTTGTAAGGTGTAAGAAAGAAATAGTAAATATTTACACTAGTAGGTGTGTCATTATTTGACTCATGGGCATCCCTCCAGTTTCAAGGTCATAATGAAACATGCTCTAAATTTCTGTTCAGGCCTTAATTTATCAGATGAGCATTTCTAGACCTGTTGGTCATCTTGATTTGGGACACAGGTGTTCTTTAAATCAACATTTTGCTAGTTTCCAAACCATCTGGGTTTTTTTTTTTTTTTTTTTTGAGAATCATCAAATGTCATTATTATATTTTAATTTAAAAAAAAAAAGATCTTTTTTAAGTAGATAAAAATTTGCATATCCTTACTTGAATGACAGTTTTCAGCTGTATTAAATTGCAAAATAACTGAATTAAAAACTTGAAAATTATAATTGCATGATAATTTCATCGGCTCTTGGTGCATTTAAGAAAAACAAGTTAGAAAAAAATTCTAGGCGGCATGTAGTTCTCTCCCAGTATTTGATAAATTACAGGATGAACCTGTCATAAGGATCCACCACTGCTATTCATTGCTTAGATTTTTATGGTCATTTCTTTAATTTTTCACTGTTTTGTAAACTACTAATTTTAGGAGGTAGTTAATTGACATAGCATTGGGTTATTTTTCATCTTATTACTGTGTCATTCTTGTAAAAAAATAAAGATTTTATGCAACTAGCTTATGCATATTTAGGATGGTGCAAGATGGACTTATAGAGAGTACAAGAGAAATTTATAAATTTTCAAAATTGATTTGTTGATTTTTATTCAAATTTCAGTGCAGATGTTTGTCATGCAGGGCACTATTTACTCATACATACAGTAATATCACAAGTCCTACAACTTAATTAATTGTACATGTTTATAACTTTTTCTGCCCCGCCATGAATATGGCCGGGGCATATAGTGTTGTCATGTCCATCTTCCTTCCCTCTGTCCTTCTGTCGCGCTTTGCGTTTAGCTCAGTTCAAAGCTACGTTTCAAAAAAAAATATTTAAGATATTTTTATCAAACTTCATATACTGATACATATTGATAAGGACTATTCAACTGCATCAACATTTTTTTGACCTTGACTTTTCCTTTGACCTTAACCTCTCTTTTCTTAAATTAGTGTTTTGATTAGCTCAGTTTAGATAAACCATTCAAGGTATTTTTGTCAAACTTCATATGCTGATACTGATGTAAGCTATTCATGACAACTGCATCAACATTTTTTTACCTTGACCTTTTCTTTGACCTAAACCTCACTTTTCTTAAATATACATTTTGCTAAGTTTTAAAGAAAACATTTAAGATATTTTTATGTAAGCTTATGCACGGATACATAATTCGGTGAGAATTTATCATCTATATCCAATTTTTTTAAACTTGATCTTCCCAATGACTTTTGACTATATTATTTATTATCTATAAATTTTAAAGAAACTATTCAAGATATTTTCATCAAACTTCATACACTAATACAAATTTTCATGTTGCATTACTATTATACCCTGGGTGGTGCATTCATGTCCTATGGACATATTTCTAGTTTTAACATCTACCTTGCCAACATTACTGTACTTTACACTTCCATCAACATATTAATGGGATCAATTTTATAGGTGTTTTATTAGAATTTAGAAAAGAGACATTTTTTTTTTTAGTTTTTTTTTTTGTTGAGATTTTAATGAAAACAAAATCATAAGAAATAATTAGAACATCATTATTTGAAATTTTATATTTGCATTATTAAAAAACAATTTAGTGCTATCTGTATTCACTTAGCAAGCCTTGCAGATAAATCAATCTGTTATTTCAATTGGATAAAGCCGTAAGTTACCAAGTATAAATATGTACGTGTATAATTTATTATTTTTCTTGTTTACAGTTTGCCAAGTTGGAATTAAAGTTACCAGGTCTTCTTATTATTGATACACCTGGACACGAGTCTTTCAGGTAAGTCCCCACTGTTATAAAGAGTATAACAGACAAAAATACCATATATTTATACAATAAATAATCTTCAAAGACTAAGAGTGGCCAATGTGAGGGGAATGAACCACTGTACATTTTGAATAAAGAGCATGAGCCACTTAGGGCCTTATTTGGCCCTGAGAATTTCTGAAAAATCGAAACTGCTGTTTTGGTTGAAAATGCAGTATTTATAACTTTGACCCTTGATGACCCTGTATTTATTGAACCTGACATAATTTTCTCTCTAGTCAGTGCATTATGACATCATAAAATGCTTCATTTTTCCCATATCCTGTAAATTCCCTTAAAAATGGCCAAAAGTTGAGGTATTTTTAGCTCACCTCAACGAAGTTGGGGGAGCTTATGTAATACCCTCGGCGTCGGCGTCCCAGGTTAAGGTTTTTGGAGCAGTTTTCTTTTCAAGTACTTCTATGGCCTATATTAGTTAGAGATGCATGGAGGATGCTTCTAGTGTGTTTTATTGTACCAGACAAGGTTTCAGATGCTGCATTTTCAGCTAAAGAATGACCAGGTTAATGTTTTTGGAGCAGGTCTCATTTCCAAGTAACTATAAGCCCTATATTGACCAAACTTGCATGGATGATACATCTAAGAATGCACACTACTGGACTTGCTTCGGATGCTGGATCTGACCTACATTTTCCGGATGAGTGACTAGGTTAAAGTTTTTGAAGTAGATCTCATTTCCAAGTAACTATAAGCCCTATATTGACCAAACTTGCATGGATGATACATCTAAGGATGCACACTACTGGACTTGCTTCGGATGCTGGATCTGACCTACATTTTCCGGATGAGTGACTAGGTTAAAGTTTTTGAAGTAGATCTCATTTCCAAATAACTATAAGCCCTATATTGACCAAACTTGCATGGATGATACATCTAAGGATGCACACTACTGGACTTGCTTCGGATGCTGGATCTGACCTACATTTTCCGGATGAGTGACCAGGTTAAAGTTTTTGAAGTAGATCTCATTTCCAAGTAACTATAAACCCTATTTTGACCAAACTTGCATGGATGATACATCTAAGGATGTACACTACTGGACTTGCTTCGGATGCTGGATCTGACCTACATTTTCTGGATGAGTAACCAGGTTAAAGTTTTTGGATCAGATCTCATTTCCAAGTAACTATAAAGCCTATCTGGACCAAACTTGCATGGATGATGCATCAAGGGATGAACAATCTCAAAACTTGCTTTGGATGCTGGATTTGACTTACATTTTCTGGATGAGTGACTTGTTTTAAGTTTTCAGATAAGTGTATTCCCAAGCCCTATCAGACCAAAATTGCATAAATGTTGCATCTAGGGATGCACACTCCTAGATTATTAGTTTAGTGTGGGACTTTGCCTTACTTAAAGACAACATTCATTGAGGTGAGCTCTGTAATCTCTGATTACCTATGTTTTCAATATTTCATATAGAGCACAACCTCTGATCCAAAATATGCAATTACATAATGAAAGATCTGTTTCTGAAGATCACAAAACATGTTTTAATTTTTGGATCGTGGACTGTACTCATATTTTAATTCTTTGCTGAAGGCAGTCAAATACACATGTTTTCTGCAAAATTCAAGAACATTGCATTTTCTCAAAGTCTATTCTCCAATACCTGGATTCTCAAAAAGAGATTTTGTTATAGGAAATGAAAACACTAAGTCTCTTCTTTATTTTGATATATGAAATGGGACAGAGGGTCATACATGTGATAAGTCAAAGACCACAAAACTGTACAGGAGCCATAAAAAAACTGGATTTTGGTTGAAAAAACTGTACACTGCCTATCAAAAAACGGTACAAAATATCGCTTAAATTCTTCTGATAAGGCACCTTATTTCTAAACCAACAAATGTATTTTGCTGCAAATGTCTTATTAGGTCACCTGAGTCACTCAGGTGACCTATTGCTATCTGTTTTCGTCCGTCGTCGTCCGTCGTGCGTCGTGTGTTAACATTTGAACATTTTCAGCTTCTTCTCTGAAACCGCTGAACCAATTTCAGCCAATTTTTGCATATGGCATCTATGTGTGAAGGGGAACAAACTTTGTGAATTTCATGGTCCCTGCCCCCCTGGGGCCTGAGGGGTGGGGCTAAAACCATCAAAATCAATGCAATCTTTAAAAATCTTCTTCTTTACTCCTGGACATCAAGCAGTCAAACTGTTGACATGATTGTAATAAGCATTGAGCCCTCTACCAAAATTGTGAAATTCATGGCCCCAGGGTCAGGGGTTCTGGTGCTAGGGCGGGGCTATATAGATCATATAGTGAAAGTGCATTATTTCTTTGAAAATCTTCTTCTCTACTCCTGGGTATTATTGAAACAAATTGAATACATAGTTATAATAAGCAAGGGTGACTCTACCAAAATTGTGAATTTCATGGCCCCAGGGTCAGGGGTTCTGGTGCTGGGGGGGGGGGGGTATATAGATCATATAGTGAAAGTGCATTATTTCTTTGAAAATCTTCTTCTCTACTCCTGGGTATTATTTAAACAAATTAAATACATAGTTATGATAAGCAAGAGTGACTCTACCAAAATTGTGAATTTCATGGCCCCTGGGTCAGGGGTTCTGATGTTAGGGCGGGGCTCTATTTATTATATAGTGAAAATGCATTAATGCTTTAAAAATCTTCTTCTCTGCTTCTGGGTATTATTTAAACAAACTAAGTACATTGTTATGATAAGCAAGGACACCTCTTCCAAAATTGTGAATTTCATGGCCTCTGGGTCAGGGGTTCTGATGTTAGGGCGGGGCTCTATTTATTATATAGTGAAAATGCATTAATGCTTTAAAAATCTTCTTCTCTGCTTCTGGGTATTATTTAAACAAACTAAGTATATTGTTATGATAAGCAAGGACACCTCTTCCAAAATTGTGAAATTCATGGCCCCAGGGACAGGGGTTCTGGTGCTAGAGTGGGGCTATATAGCTCCTACAGTGAAGGTGAATTATTTCTTTGAAAATCTTCTCTGCCTCTGGGTACTATTTAAACAAACTAAGTACATTGTTATGATACGCAAGGATGCCTCTTCTAAAATTGTGAATTTCATGGCCCCAGGGTTAAGGGTTCTGGTCAAAAGGTGGGGGGGGGGGGGGCTCTATTGATTATATAGTGAAAAATCAAAATTTCTTTGAAAATATTCTTTTTCTGCTTCTGGTTAAAAAGCAAAGAAGCTAAGTATATAGTTATGATGAGCAAGAGTGCTTCTTCCAGAGTAATGAATTGCATGACCCCTGGGTCAGATGTGCTGGTATAAGGGTGGGGCTGTTGATAATGTAGTGAAAATGCATTAATTCTATTAAATAATCCTGTCTGCTCCTTAATGTTAAGCAGTTAAACAAAGTGATTACTTATGATGAGCAAACTTGAAACTTCTGGTCCCAGGGTGAGAGGCTCTGGTGTTTATTGGTGGTGAAGAGGGGGGGGGGGGGAGGGGCTCTATTGATAATATAGTGAATCTGTAGTGAAAATGCATTATTTCTTTAAAAATCTTCTCTGCACCTGGGCATATCAGAGGCAAAAAGTGTAAAAGTTGTAATAAGGAAGGGTATTTTTACCAGATTTTTGAACATCTGGACCATTTGGTCAAGTGTTCTGGTCCTAGCCAGGGCTCAATTAATTTGCATTCTACTGAGAGGAGTTATTCCTCTTTGCCGTTTACTTTTGATAATTAATCACTGTAAATAATGTACTTAAAAAATTAATAGAATAAGAGAATTATGCAAGAATTTTTATTGTATAATACAAAAAGTATTTTCTTAGTTTTAATGATCATGTGGACTTGTAAGTAATAGATAAATAAAAATGAGACAAAAATAACTTAAATGTTCATCAAAGACCAAGAGAGGCCAATGTAAGAGATAACAACAAGGAATTAAAATAGTACAGAATCACTGATATTTTGTTAATATACTGTATGGTGATAGTGATAAATGGGGAACAGATTAGAACCTTATTTATGAACTGTTAATGAATAGTAGACTAATTATTTTGTTGATCCTGATCACCCTATTTTTCTTGCTTTTGGGCAACAAAGCTTCACCTTTCATTTCATTTTAATACTCTATGGATCCTCTAAATTGTTGTATTGTACTCAGGTGACCATTAAGGCCCTTGGGCCTCTTGTTTTAAAAGTTGTAATGGAGATCTGAATGCTTTAAAATTTCATATATTGTGTTTTATAATCACAATGTTCTAATGAATTGACTGTTAATTAAGCTAGTTTAGATGATAGTTTGTTTGCCAGCTTTATATAGTTTTACATGAGAGTCAATGTCTCCAATTTACATCTTGTTCATATTACTGATATATACATCAGTAATGCTAAATAACAGCAGCAAATACAATCATGCATAAATTTCAGCACATAAAAACTTAAAACTATATCCTTTATTTCAGCGTAATCATGGTAATAAACATCGTATATTTTACACCTACGAAGATCTGGGTCAGATTCATGTATATTTAGTCATGTATATCAACTTTAGAAGTTGGCTTAATTTTTTTGAATCAAGTTACGAAACATTAACAGTTATAATTATGTACCCCTTTAAAAATAAAGCTACCTAAAGGGGTATCTTGTTACAGATTTATAGCAAGATGATTATCCCAATTGGCAGTTCACACCTTCACACATGATGGTTTGTGTACACTACACAATTATCAGAAGGTCAAGTGTCAAATGAGAGGAAAATGACGGCATTTAGCGAGAAATTCAAAATACTGTACAAATTTTCATATTCCGTGAATTTTGGTGTCCCGCCGGTACACGATGAATGGGCTCGAAAAACGGTGCATTTGCATACGGTCGGTACATATCACATGTATGGAGGGTGACTGTCAATTAATTGATATAAGGACAGGGCCATTTTATGCATAAAATGAACCTAGCTCTTTTTCTCACTTTTGGAAAATAATGATATATGTAGAGTAAAACCAGTTGAATATTACATTTCCGAAAAAGTGTTGCCCATTTCACAGCATAAATTTATTTGTATATTATTTACCAATGCTATGCTAATTTCTCCTGCTAATTTCTTCATGATTCCTCCCAGCATCTCAAACACCATACCTGTAGCGTAATGACTATCATTTTCTACATCAGTGTACTTAATTTTTGACAGTAATCTGCGATCTCGCGGCTCTTCTCTCTGTGATTTGGCTATACTGGTTGTTGACATCATGCATGGCTTGGAACCACAAACCATTGAGTCCATCAATCTTCTCAAGGAACGGAAAACACCATTTATCATTGCTCTTAATAAGGTAGGGATGCTGGCATGTGCTTCCATATCTGTATACCTTGTAATATTTAATGGCTGTTAAAATTATAATTAACATCCGCTTTAGTACATTTTTGTTTGTTATAAGTATAAAAAGATTTGAAAGCTCCTTTGGTTGATGTATTTAGAAGATATGCTGGCCACAATGTTCATGAAAGATAAATTTGACTATCCAGTTTTATAAGTGAGCAAGACCTTGTGCCAATGAACTTTTATATATTTATGGAACAGAAGCTGAAACTGTTATTTTCTTTTCATTCAAATGAACTAAGAATAACATATAGAACTAATTACACCCAGGAAAAGAAATTAATTAGAAATTAATCCTTATGGGGATAAATGTATTGTCTTGACCATAAAATGAAATTCTTATATTTTTTAATCCCATTTGTTGAATTGACAGATTGATAGGTTATATCAGTGGAAGCCAATGCCGCATACTGACATTGTGACTACAATTAAAAAACAGAACCCCAACACGAAGTCAGAATTTGAAGCCAGGGCACAAGAAGTCATTGTACAAATGGCCGAACAGGTGAGTTCTGTTTTACTTACAGCACAAATTCAAGTGAGCTTTTCTGATCAAAGAGTGTCTAGCATCTGTAGTCTGTGAACTTTTCACATTTTTGACCTTCTCAAGAACCACTTGGCCAATTTCAACAAAACTTGTCACAAAGCATCCTTGGGTGAAGGGGATTAAAGTTTATTCACAGGAAGTGCTGCAACCTCTTTCAAGGGGAGATAGTCAAGAAAATTGTGAAAATTTGGTGGCATCTATTAAAAATCTTCTTCTCAAGAACCATTGGTCAAGAAAAGATGAAACTTATGTGAAAGCTTCATTACATTCTCTAGATTCAAATTTGTTCATATCATAACCTCCAGGGGTAGGGCAGCGCCACAAGAGAGGGTGGAAGTTTTACATTATATATATTTACTTCATTAAAAACCACACCGATTGTACACACAAGTACTCTGAAGTTGATATTAAAGGGATGCTGGAGTTCCTCATTGACAACATTTATATAGTCTTCGAAGACCAAGTTTTCCAGCAAACTGCATGTTGGAATTCTGATGGATTCTAATGGTGCTCCTTTATTAGCTGACCTGTTTTTATGTTCATATAAGCAGAATTTATTCAAAAACTTCTACATGAGAAGAAGAAAACACTAGCTGTGGCCTTCAATTCCACATTCAGATATATCAGTGCTGTTATATCAATTAACAATAGTTATTTTCATTCGTATGTCGACTCGATATATCCCAGTGAACTTGAAATAAAAGACACCACAGAGTCTGACACATCTGTTTCAGATTTAGATATCTTACTGATTATAGACGATAAAGGCCAATTAACAACTAAAAATTGTATGTTAAACGAGATGACTTTAGCTTTTCCATCATCAGCTTTCTTTATTTACATAGTAATATTCCACTATCACCTCCTTATGGTGTTTTTATCTCCCAACTTATTCACTACTCAAGAGCTTGCTCTGAGTACGTTCAGTTTTTAAAGCGTGGCAGACTACTTACTGATAAGTTGATGTTACAGGGATTTCAACAGCCTTGTTTAAAGTCAGCATTTTGTAAATTTCATGGTCGTTATAATGACCTTGTTAGCAAATATAACCTATCATTGGGTCGTGTTTTGGCTGACTTGTTTTATACCAAATGTTAGGCCTTTGTTTTTGTACTGAATTGACTACGGATTGTTCCAACTACCTGATCTATATATAGGGGTCATGGCGGGTGTGACTGGTCAAAATGGGATGCTTACTCCTCCTAGGCACTGATCCCACCTCTGGAATTTCCAGAGGTCCGTGTTTTATGCCCTCTTCACATATTTGTATTGTTTGTGGATTTTTGGAGATTGATCACTGTTCATTTTCTTTACCTTTACATTTGATAAGCTGGAAATAGAGGAAAAGGAGAATTCACTAAACTCCAAAGTTTTATTTGGGGGGAGGGGGGAGGGGGTCCATAAACATAGCAGGGATTTTCTATACTGGATCAAAAAAGATAGGAGGACCAGCCTTTGAATGAACATTTACATACTAAATTAATAATAAAAATTTACATTTAGAAAAAAAGTACCACATGCCTGAATGTGATGTTCACCTGAGTGGAAGTTGGATGCAGTTGAAATAACTTTTCAAAACTAATTTTATCGGTTAAGAAGTTCTCAATTTATTATTAGTCCAATATAAAAAAAAAAGTAAATACTTTTATTATATAGTCTATAAATAGCCCCTATATAATCTATACAAATGCAAACAGTTCATAACACTACATATTCACCGGATTTGAAGCTGTATTCACCGGAGGGTCAGTGCGCGTGCAGTGGCATTGTGACGTCACAATCAATACCCCAAACAACGTTGAAAACAATGGTTGCAACGGTTGGAGCTAGCTGAATATATGAGCAGGAAAAATTGTTTCGCAAGTCCATCACAGGATTATTTTCTTACCATTTCGATGTCTTGCGCACATCAAAAGGAAAACACGGAGGTTATAGGTTGTAATCTGGACATTTTTTATTTTTGTACGACTGAAGTTCGTTAATGAAAATGGAATCGTCAGGCGGCCTTCAATGTCTTATTCATTAAATCCTGACTATATAATAAAACAATTATGGACTCTTTCGATGGTAAATAACAAACCATATTCACCATCGAAAGAGTCCATAATTGTATAATATTCACCTTGAAAGTCATGTGCAGGTGAATATAAGTTTGTTGGATCTCAGCCAGTCAGAAAGCTAGGAATTCTTTACAGTGGCGCCTCGTTTATCTGGACGCCTCCGTTCCCAACGAAAACGTCCGGATAAATGAATCGTCCGGATAAGTGAATCATTAATAAAAAAAAAAAAAAAAAAACCTTCTCCAAGCATGTGTATATGCTCGTACTGGTATCAAATGTGGAGGCAAAGGGAAAAAAACTGATATTTTGGTTTAAACTTTTTATTTTTTTTAGCTTTATAAGAAGTAATTAAGTAAAGAAAAAAATATATTAAAATGTAATTTACACGATAAAAAAAATTTGATACTGGGCAATTTTATGCTGAGACCTTTTTTAAGGCAGGGAATTTTATTCGCCCTCTCTTTGGCATGAACTCATGGGCTGAGAAAATTTTGATTTACTGTTGTATTATTTAACTATCTTTTATAATTATTGAAGCTCATATAATATGACAGAACTGTTCAGCATCATCATTGAAAATGTTCAAATATAAACTAACCCTGTATATTCCCGTATATTCTTTACACAGGGCTACTATAGTAACTGAACGCTGCAAGCTAACTCAAACACATGCAATCAGTGAAAGTATTGTAAACATTCAACATAAACACAAGCAATCAATGATTATCAATTATTTTTTTCTAAAGACCCTAAGTTTGATTTCGATCACAAAAAATACCTTGAAAGACGTAATCAACTTCTATACGTAACGCCAGTTTTATATTTCTTTTCGAAAGTAACGTACATTTATAGACAGTTGTACATTAATATAGAAAGATATTTCTTTTCTGCCTAATGTAGAAAAAGCGTTTCAAATACATTTACGTTTTTAGAAAAAGAAAATCATATTTAAACTAACAATCAACATGATCAAGACCATTACGAAATCGCTCGTTATTTATTGTTCTTTTTATTTACAACTCTCCAAAATTCTCATGAATTTACAGATGTATATACGGTTAGCAATATGATTTTGAACAGATTATAATTAAAGTAATGCACAGTGTAAGCGAAAATCTTCGAGTTTCATAATAGACGTACGTGTGATTTAATTGGGGTAAACACACGCTAATTATAGACGCTATTGTCTGTAGGTCACAGGTAACCGCCTTTAAACTGACTGCATGGCCAATGTTTTTACATCAATTAACACTACTGCAAGATGAGTGAGAAAAAGCCGTTTCTTGAAAAATTACCGTCCGGATAAACGAGTCATTTTTCAATGAACTATTACGTTTTGTAGTAGAAATCGACCGTCCGGATACGGAACGCGAATTTCCGGATTAATGAGACAGAATAACGTGGAAAAAATCGGTTCCCCAAAAATATCGTCCGGAAGGTGAAGCGTCTGGATAAATGGCGTCCAGATAAACGCGGCGCCACTGTATATAGGAAAATCCTTGAAAAACCTTTTTCTCAAGAACAGCAAAGCCATTATAAGTCATATATATAATGGGAAATAATCTGTAGCTGAAGAACAGCAGGGCCATAGTAACTCAGTTGAGTTTTGTGGCCCATAGTAACTCAGTTGAGTTTTGTGGCCCATGGCCTATTGTTTTCCTATATCAAATAATATTCAGAACTTTTCAAACGCCCCTAGTACAGAAAATTAATAGATTGCAGGTAGAAGTATTTCAAGGATTCAAGATTTGGAAGTTTGATATATATAAGTCCTGTTAGAGTGCATGGTATTGATTGATAAAAATATTGGACAATAATATCATTTCCTGTCTGATATCAGTTGTATAATTGTGTTATGAAACTGTCACAATAAGCTATTTATGCATGAAGAATCTGAACATCCACTGATTATAACTGATAGAGGAAACTAGTACATACATTATTTAGGCAATACACTTTTAATTTTTAGCTTACTTGACATGATAAAAGGCTGAAGTGAGCTTTTCTGATCTAAATTTGTCCATTGTTGTCAACTTAAACTTTTCACAATTCCATCTTCTCCAAATGAATGGGGCCAATTTCAAGTTTGTTCAAGGGGAGATAATTAAGAATTATTGAAAATTTTATGGCATCTTTCAAAAATCTTCTTCCCAAGAACCACTGGGCAGGAAAAGTTTAAACTTATATGAAAGCTTCCTTACATAGTGTAGATTCAAGTTTGTTCAAATCATAACCCCCGGAGGTAGGGTGGGCCACAGTGGGCAATCAAAGGAATACAGAGCAAAAAAATCTTTTTCTGAAGAATGGCAACGGCATAATTAGCAATATGGATATGGAAGCATATTCAGATAGTGTAGATTAAAGGTTGTTCAAGTCATGACCCCCGAGTAGGGTAGGGCCACAAAGGGGAATCAAAGTTTTATATAGGAGGAATATATAGTGGGAGGGGGGGGGGGATCTGCTGATGGAGAACAAGGCCATAGTGACTCAGGTGAGCATTTTGGCCCAATTAAGGACTTCTTGTTTATTTGGAGTGCATACACTTGGTCTCTTAATTAAATTTGATCAGATGAAAAACTTGATAGGTTGATAAATCCACTGGATTAGCACCCACTCAGAGTTATGAGGAATCATACACACATTTTCTTGCTTAGAGGCCTTTCAAGTGTAAATTAAACAATTAAAAAAAAATGCCCAATCCAACATATCTATAGAAACCCCATAAAAATTTTAAAATTTTTTCACTAAAAAAATGAAACATCTTCTTATGAATAAAAGCAATTTAAATGCAGTAAAAATTAACTTTGGTAATTATTTGATTAGGAATCTGAGTTTAACTATTTTTGACTTTTAAAGTTTTTATTGCATTTTATCTCTGTTTGAAGATGAATATTTTAACACTAAAAGCAATTAATTTCATTTCATATCTTTAAATGATGCCTTATGTAATGGATTTCACACTTTTTTTAGTTTAGATTTGCCACCATATGTTCTCTTTTACTGTCTTTGTAGTGTTATTTATTATGTTAATTAAGTATTAAAGTTAATAACCAGCCGTTACTGTAATGCTCTTCAACATATTGTCAAGGTTTTACATCTGCATGGTCTTCAGAACTAATACATTTATATGCAATATGTTTCATTTCAATGGCAAAAGTCGGTATCCTTGCATAATTGTTTCATTTTTAAGAATTTCTTTTCTTTTACCCCATTTTTTAAAGTGCTTTCAAAAACTGAAATTACATCATTTAAGATATACATTTCTTAAATAGAAAAATATAGAAATTTTAATTAGGAGATGAATTAAGAATTTCTTTTCTTTTACCCCATTTTTTAAAGTGCTTTCAAAAACTGAAATTACATCATTTAAGATATACATTTCTTAAATAGAAAAATATAGAAATTTTAATTAGGAGATGAATTAAGTTATATTAAGTACTGCAATACATATACATATGTAATTACAAAGAGTCCCGCAAGTATGGATATAACAGATGATAAGAATCTTTCTAATCGCTAATTTAAATTTTTCATATGACTTGCAGAAAGTGATATTACTTTTTGAATATTTAAAAATGAGTCAAACGGCTTTAAAAGTGAATTAAAAAAAAATATAGGAAAATATAAAGAAATCATCATTAGCTCATGCTTGGCATAAAAGTTGCTTATGACCAGAGATTGGACTGTGACCTTTAGCCAGTCATTTGGTCAAGGTCACAAGAATCCATTTTATAGTAAAATTCCTGTTTAGGGTTTAACTTTGTAATGCAGGAATAGATGCTTTCACTTAAAAATAAAAGTAATTCCTGTTTTGACCCTGACCCATTTAAAAAAGGTCAAAGAATTCAGAAGAGGTAAGACTTTCTAAGTCTAGCAATACATGTATTATACAGAGATTCCTGAAACTTGACTCTAAGGGTGCTTATGATCAGAATATGTCGTGATGGCATGCTTAATACACTTGGAGATGCTTAAGACTGAATAAAATGGCAGCATATGGTTTTTTTGTGTGTTTTGTTTTATTAGATTACAGAGGTATTCATATTTTGAAATGGTATTAGTCCCATTAGTTAGTACAGATGTAGTTAGACTATACATGTATATTAACTGTCTCCCATCTACCTTTTCCAATATTTTGGGCTTATCATTCTAAATGCAAATAAGCTTTATGGGTTCTCTGAAGCATACAAGATTTGAAATTTTGTTTCTTTTATTTCAGAGCATCAATGCTGCATTATTTTATGAAAACAAAAACATGAGGGAATATGTCTCCTTGGTGCCCACTTCTGCCCACTCAGGAGATGGTATGGGCAATTTAATTGCCTTACTTTGTGAACTGGCACAGACGATGATGGCAAAGAGACTGGCCTATAGTGAAGAACTTCAAGCCACAGTCATGGAGGTATAGTCAGTCAGCAGTATTCTGGTGGCATTAGAGTTGTCCTTCTTAGTATAAATTATGGAAGAGAACAAGATTCTAGTGGCATTGAGAGATCGTATGTTTATGCAGATAATTGTAGACTTTCCCACAGTTACTAATCTCATTCAAAAGGATAGGAAACTAGGATGGATGATGCAAGATTAAAAAAAAAAATGAAACAGTAATCATAATACAGTAATATAATTGTGAGGCATGGAGAGATGCTGGGGAAGTTTATAGGAGATCTCCAAGTGGAGTTTTCCAGATGTTACAGCGATAATGTTGTGATGGGTGGGGGTGGGGATTATTTCCTCAGTACAGGAGGGCCAGTATAGAAGTATCTGACCTGATCTGTATTTTAATTGCTCCAAAGTGCCTTATCAAATCACTCTAAAATGAGATAGGTAGGCTTAGAGGGTTTTAATATCTCCCTTCACAGTAATAAGGCTCTTCCTCTTTAACTTTGATGAGCCACGAAACAGGAAATGAATTGATAAAATGTTACGCAAGCCCCTACTCTCAGGTGTTAGCATTTCATTCATAAATCTCATTATCAGTATTCTAGTTGTGCAAAGCCCAGATCCTTGCTAAATGAAGTCTTTCCTCCCATTTTTGTCCATTTGTGAAATCTTATTATCCTTTATTCATTGCATAACCTGAATTGCCCACATTAGACTTTTGGATTAAATATTTGAGGTCCTTTGATATAAGATTGTGTAACTTTTCAAGTCTCAGGAACATTGCTGTATTCAGGGAGAAAAACTTCAAAGGATATTTACAAAATCCTCATTCGCTGATAGTGTTTGTAAGCACTGGAAAAATCTCTCTAACTGGGGTCACTTTAATATAAAGAAAAAATGCTTTAACCTGAGAAAATTCAGTTTTATAATTTTTTTTTTTTTAATGAGAAAACAATTAATGGAAAAATACTTTGTAAGATAGGTTTCAAATTCACCAGTAACTACCTATACCATAAAAGTTCCCCTGCATAATTTTTCACTCTTAGAATTTACCCCCCCCCCCCCCCCCTTTCTACTGTTTTCTTTTAATTGATGTTCAAGAACTACATCATCTTTTGGAGTATCAATTTTATTTATTCAGAATGTTGAGTGTTTATAGTTTCTCCCGAAATTGTATTTCAAACATCACTGTATAAACATGAACCTCTATAATGTAAGAAACGTAGTCAACATTGAAATATTCCATCTTTTACTATTAAAACATCCCTCATAAGGTTCTTGATGTTAACAAAAACAGTACATGTCTTTTGAATAATGAAATAAATAAATATAAATATTTCTTAGTTTTACTGATGACATATCCATTTCAAATGTCAAATTGCCTTTGGTATTAAATCCCCTAATGACAACTGTTACTTAGAAAATATCCCATTATTTTTTGTTTTGTTCAACTAATGAAACAGTTTTGTTAGGTCAGTATGAACAAAAATTTATACACTGTCCTGTGATTTGCAGTTAACCCCCCTCCCCTTTTTTAAAAATAAAAACAAGATCTATTAACTATCCCATTTGTCAAATTTTTTCAGTGCTCTGTGTGATTATTAGGGTGATACAGTATTCACAACATTATATAAAACTCTCATTTGTAAAAATAGACATTTTTTGCCACAAAAGACTTTTTTTTTAAAATGAAATGTTCTTTTTCTGTGTCCTGTTTTTATGTTTAAGTACAAGATGCATGCGCCAGATAGAGACAAGATACAGTAAGGGTACCTGGGCAGGCATGTTACAAGATGTCTGTTGTTGAGAGGATGTGTGTTATCTGATGACCCCTAAAAAAGAGAGGTGGTGCCCAGATCTTATCTCAGCACGCTCCTCATTTTCCATTCACAACACACACAGGTCCCAAACATTATCTCTGCCTTTTTTCTTAAGAAATGTAATTAACTGAAGAATAAGCTGTAACTTATTTTTTTTCTTATTAAAATCATTATTAGAGGTCTGTAAGTTAATTAGCAATTGAAGTTTATATACTTAACTATAGTCCTTATATTACTTCTGAATCAGTATGTTATCAGTACATCTAATTTGTGGATTTAAATGGTTTATTATTTTCCCGTAAACATCAATACAGATATTTCAAAACAGTTGCAATTTGATAATTTAAAAAAAAAAATAAATAAAAAAAAAAAACGTTTTAATGAAGAGAGATGGAAACAATTAAAGGATTTTTCTTGAATTAATTTTTTTTAATTATATTTATTTTCTTTATAATTAGTTATATATTTATTTTTATTATTTTTTCCCTGAAACTGTCATCTGTCAGTAAAGGCATTCTGATGGAGGTCATGAAGATTTCATCATGTTCCTTTTATATATTCACTTTTCTCTCAGATTACTTGTATATAACTATTTAATTAGAATATGTGCAAAATAATAATAAAAACAAAAAAAATAAATATTCAGTGAAGACATTTGTGTGCATTCCCAGCCAACTTATGCAAGCATTTGCAGAAGGATATTGGCTAGAAGAAGTAATATTTGACAAAAATTGCTAGCCTTTTATCACTGCTACAGACTTCTATGACAAAGGTGGTCTATAAGATTGATCTTGTGAAACAAACTAAGTGGTTATGTCGACACTAAGTACTTCATTCTTGTAAAAATCATCTCAAATTCACTACAAGTCACCTGAATTCGCAGACAAGCCGACCCTACCATTTCCGGCCATGACCCTCTTTCTTTCAAGTAATTGCGTACATTTCCATTTCCTGCATTCAACAGTTCTTACATAAGTTGTCAGTAAAAAAAAAAGATGATAAAAGTGCATGCAGAGTAGTCTTCAGAGAAATTGTTCTTGTGAAAGAAACCTTTTCTTCATTTCCCCTAAATGTTTTGGACTTCTGAGAATTTTAAACCCCTGACTTTACTGAAATTGGATGAAATATTGTGTTCCCAATATCAATCCTCAAATAACTTCACAAAATTAGTTTGACTATGTGCATTAGCCCAGCACCTTTAGATTCAGGTTCAAAATTAGGCATTGTCATCAATGCTGTGTCACACATGCAAGAATAATTCAATGTTAACACGTAACAATACCAAAAAAAAATTGCCGTATCATGCAAGTATCAATAAACAGATTGTTTTTCTGGCAGGAAGTCCAATGGGGCCACACATGGTGGGCTTCAGGTATTTGTTAGGGAAATAAAGCAGGGCTTTGAGCACAGTAGCATTTGGAAAGATTTGAATTTATGGAGTAAAAAACAGCTATAACGCTGGTGTTTGTTGACATCAGTCAGTATTTGGGATTTGAAATAACCTTTAGAAATTCTGTTTCTTCAGATATGGAGAAGAATTTTTTGTTGTATATAATTAAAGTCAAGAGAGTCAGATTTAATGTCTTGCCGAATTTTGAGAGTGGAATAACAAAGAGTTCAATTTGCTGAATCACTAAATATTCATTGATAACTTATTCATTGACAAGCTACACAAGTTTGTAAATTGATCGACTAAATTTGATTTTGTTACCCATGTTGAATACATTGTTAAAACATTATTTAAAGGGATAATTTATGATAAGAAATGAATGAATTTGCACTTTAACAATCAAAAGCTAATGAAAACATACTACAGGCCATTATTGCTCACTGTCGCATTTGTTTCCATGAGAAGAGTACATGTAGTATCTAGCACTCTTGTTTCAATGGTACCTATTCTGCAAAAATCAAATGCTTTCATGACTTAGATCCAGCAAGGTGCAGTGCAAAAAGTGCCAAAGGGAATGGACTCTTTGATTTTGTAGGTGGATCCACCTATTGATCAGGCCCCATAATGATCTCAAGTACTTGGAAGAAATTTTTAATGGATGCAAGGTAACTGTGAGAGGGAATAATGGAGATTATGAGAACAACTCTGAATGAAATAGCAGTAATCAGGGGTCCACTGTTTCCTCCAAGGTTCTGCCAGCATCAATGTTAGGTTCCCTCAAGGACAAATCAGAAGGAAATGCCTTTAGAGTAAAATTGTATGCAATCAGTCTGCAAAGATAAGTGCATTCAATATGATATATTGTAGACTAATTTTATGGTACACTAAAGCAGCAGGTTTTGGAGCCAGGGCCATACGGTTTATGAATGAAGCCAAAGAAAAAGAAATGATGCCTCAATGAACATATCAAAGGATTGCATCAGCCCCAGCTATAATATAACAATTATATCTGCCATTGTGACATAATCTCTATCTGAAAGCAAATTCTTCATACAAAATTGTTCGGCATGCAAATAAAAAAATTATGGTTTACCAAAATCTCAGTTTGAAAGGGAGATGAAAAGGCCTGACAAAAAGATAGAAGATTTGGCGTCAAATTTTAATTCGAGGATGGATAGGGATTTACGGTTTTCTATTTCTGAAGAGAAATCATGTTTAATGGATGTTTATTTTAATAAAAATGAAGTGATGTTTTTTCATAAATTTTGAAATGCGAATCCAGACATTCAATCTGTGTATATTTCACACTATTTAGTTAGATTTAGCATACACCTTTAAAACTTCATCAGTTAGTGATTGTGAATCATAAATTCATATTTAGAAGGTTTATTACATCAAAGTATATCTGAATGAAATCTAGAAATCAGAGAAACACATTAATAATTTCCAATATATTAAATAAAATTGGCATTAACCTTGGGGGAAATTTTATATAAAATGTATTAATTATGTTTTAAAGTTTTCAATTTCACACTTCTTTGATACTGGAACATACTTTAAATGAAGATTGAAAGTGCTGGATTAAATTGAATTGGGTGTGTTTAAGGTACATTTAATTAATCAGCACATTTCATCTTAAAAGTGTAGTTTTTATGGGCGCAGGACCCTATTTCCTCATTTTTGTCTGCTTTAGAAGGTATCTAGTACATGCGTGAAATCCATGTTGTCAGCGATTACTTGTCAATTATGCGTGTACTCTAAGACATTGTTCCAAGCAAGAGCATTTTCATGTTAACAAGTCGGTAGAGTCTTGTCTAGTTAGCTAACATTGACCCTAGCTTCAGATCTGCTGCCATTTCCTCAATCCACTTTTTATGATCAACAAGATTTTCTAAAACAAACATTCTGTTGCAATGTAGGGAACAAATTTGTTTGCTTTTCCAGGTGAGTTGATTAAAACTCCCACTCATTTGACCTCTAGTCAAGTCCCCTCTTAAGCAAGTTACCATCAGTGAAGAGTGAAAACTTTTGGCAGATGAGTCAGAAAGGAAGAGAGCTGTTGACTCTCTTGGAGAGAAAAAAAAAGGTTTTTTACAAAGACTGTCTGAATTGACTGTAGATTTTGATAACAGTTTTGACCCTTTTGAGTGTATCTTGTCTTGCATGTTTATGACACAGAAAATCGTTGATCTTATCTCCTCAGTTTGAAGACATTGAAATAATAAATTCAAAGTGTGTTGATTTGATTGTTTGTTCTGAATCTATGGATATAATTCCCAGATAATACTCATGTGGATTCAAGGTTTCTTCATTAAGAAAGGCTTTTGAAATCATTTTTATTTTTGGGTTGTAGATTTAGTTTCCAAGCATGAAAATGAACAATTAGAATACTAATTGAGTATAATGACTTATTTATACTGTTAAGTGCAGACCTACTCCTTGTCAAAATGCAGCTTTTACAATGTAGAGATAGAGGTTTCCATTTTATGAGTCCTAGCTTTTTCAAAGAGTTCAATGTATTTGACACAGGTGAAAGCCTTGCCTGGCTTGGGTACCACATTAGACATTATACTGGTGAATGGTTCAATTCGGGAGGGAGACCAGATCATCGTACCTGGCACAGAAGGACCCATAGTCACTCATATTAGAGGCTTACTCATGCCCCAGCCAATGAAAGAGCTCAGGGTCAAGGTATGTAAGATTTGCTCATATGTTATATAGTCCACAATCAAGTATTTTGTTTGGTCACATATATCGTATAAGTAGAATTTTTAGCGAGAGGCAAATTTAGCGATTTGTTCTTAAAAAATGATATATAAATTTTAGCGAGAGGTAATTTTAGTGATTATATACTACCATGAAAGATAAGTCTTACCTCCTATTCAGAAAGAATTAATACAATATTCAATTTTAGAAACTTCAACACACTAGCTCATAAAGTCAAAATTGAAATCCTCACTAAAAGTTCTGCTTATGTGGTATTAATTATTGATGTAAGCTACTTTGTATTAGCTAATCATTGCTCAAGAATGCAGAAATCTGATGTTTAAATGTTAAATAATAAGGCAAGAAAAACATTGGAAAACAACATTCCTTTCAACAACATATGTGACAATTGTATGACTGTGTCCTCACACATATGACCTTTATTAGTCTCCTATCAGTGAAACTGGAGGGAACTATAGGTTTCCTCCTCATCTGTCCTTCTGTCTGTCCATCTGTCCCTCCATCTGTCTGTCCCACTTGGTTTCTGCACTTTTTTTCTACATGCTTGCCGATATTGGGTTGCTTTTTGATGTGTGAATGTACCTTGATGAGTTACAGATCAAGTTTGTATTTCATTCTGCTTCAATGATTTTTGATGGAATTACAGCATTTTTAAATTTTTAAGGATAACCAGATTTCCCACTAGGAATTCTGCACGTTTTTTCCCTAAACACTTGCAGACATTGTGCTGATTTTTGGTGTGTGAGTTATAGATCAAGTTTTCATTTGTTTGATTCAGTGAATTTTGATGAAATTATGGCCTTTTTAATTTATAAGGGGAACCAGTTTACACTTGCGGGTAGGGGACTAGTATTGCATATGCAATACTCAGAATGCTTGTTCATTAAATGATCATATTGATGCAAAGAGACTTACAGTTAGAAAATAAAGTGTGTATGTAACTCATATCTTTAAGGTGTTATCACATGATACATATAACATGATCTAAACAGTGCTTGACATATGCACACACATTTCAAAGGTTAAAAATGATTTTAAAGAACTGATCATTGCTTCATGTGTTTTGATGCCTGCAGAGGGATCACTTTACTTCCGGTCTGTCTGTCTGTCTTGAGAACTGTAAGAGTTAGAGATTCGACATTTTGCTCATGTCAGTAGGGTTACTGTCCTTGTGACCTTTGGTCACAGTTGAATGGTTATATTTAGATTAAGTATTAGAAACTTTTGGATTTGGTAAAGGGTTATGGCAATGGGTATGTATCGTATACTTGGGCATTACAGGTTGATTAATTAATAATGGGTATTTCTCCTCCTTTTTCAAGATTTCTCAAGATGTTGGACAAGGATGCCCTTTATCACCTTATCTATTTATCTAATGTGTTGAATTAATGACTACTGCAATCAGATCAAACAAAAGTATTCGCGCGGTATAAGAATCAATAAAACAGAATTTAAAATCAGTCAGTTAATTAGCAGATGACACCACTTGTTTCTTAAGTGATGAAAAATCGGGCTTTGAAGTATTGAGGATCATCCAAAGTTTTAAATAATTTGCTCAGGTTTAAAGATCAATCTAATTAAAACAGAGCCATATGGATGGGTAGCTGTAGAATTTTCCTCCAGTTAGTTTACCAGTAAAATGGTCTAATGGTTTATTCTTTACACTTGGAATCTGGTTTAGTGTATATGGGGAATATGATTGTTTAGTAAAAAAAAACTTCAATTCCAAATTAGATGACATTAAAGCAACTCTCAACCTTGGGCACAAGATAGTTGTGAATGTAATTTGAATTTTATTGTTTTTAGAAAATGTTAAGGGAAAACTGTATATTTAAAAATTTCTATATTGTAGTAAGAGAAAATTAGAAGATTTTTACAATGAATGGCAAGAATTACTAGAAAATCTGGAAAACTGATTTAAAGTATTTTTATGCATGATTATAAGCCCAAAAACATATTCAATTTAATTATACTTATTTATTATATAAGATAATTTTCAGTACCGTAATATTGATTAGGGTTATATATTCTTTCTGCAATGTTACATGTATGTATTTTATCTTAATTTGTAAAATGTAAGAGCCAATTTAAAAAAAAAATTGTCATGAAAAGTCACTGCAGTTTGGTGCTAGATACTACATTTCTCTGCTTTTCTTTACTTTTAATTGAATTTGATAAAAGAAGAAATTGGTTTTAAATATTTATTGATTCAGGATTAGAAATAAGAGAGGTTTTAAAAATATTTTAGCACTGTATAAAATTTGAAAAAATATGCAAAAGTTAGAAGTTGATACACATCCTGTTTATTGAGATGTGTTAAATTCCAATTTAAATGTATATCTGATAGGATCATTTATATATTTTTGCAGTAGATCACAATGAAATCTGTTTGAATGTAAAGTTTTGTGATTTTTTTTTATCGTTGTACGGTAAAGAGTTTTGGTAAACAGGCATAAACTTCATGGTTAAAGACTTGACTAGAAATGCATAAGTGGCATTAACATAGTCCCTGTGACAGATGAAGGGCTTCTCCGAGATTGGGGTGCTGTAGTAAGATCAGAAGTAATGAATAGTTAATTAAAACCTATACTATGTGTTTATGATTGCTAATGTTTACAGGTGCCTGTAGTTAAAAAAAAATGTTGAACTTAAATACTAGCCCTTTGGCCTTAACAACATAAACAAAGTGAAAGCTACATGTAGAAATCAAAAGTAATTTTTTTTTTGCATAGCTTTTATGAGAGTTAAAAAATGTGAAAAAACTTACATCACACAGAAAGACAAAATGGAGGAAGAATTTTGTAAATAAACCACATGCTATAGTCTTTGAAATGAAAATAAAGTTTTATCACCAAATAATGATATAACTTGAATATTGAATAGATAATTATTGAACAGATAAATTTGTTGTTTGTAGTCTAACTGGGAGCACCATAAGGAGGTAAAGGCTGCCCAGGGGGTGAAGATCATTGCCAAGGATCTGGAGAAGTCCCTCGCTGGCCTCCCAATGTATGTGGCCAAGAAGGAGGATGAAGTGGAGTATTACAAGGTCAGTCAAGGTCATCTCGCTGGGTTGCTGAAATTTTCCTTCTTTATTTCATAGCTGTAACTTGATTTATTATTACTCATATTTATCATTACAGGCATACCTAAGTATTGTTTTTAGCTCACCTGAGCCAAAGGCTCAAGTGAGCTTTTCTGATCAAAATTTGTCCGTTGTCTGTCGGCGTCGGCGTCGTTGTTGTCGTAAACTTTTCACATTTTCATCTTCTTCTCAAGAACCACTGAGCCGATTTCAACCAAACTTGCCACAAAGTATCCTTGGGTGAAGGGGATTCAGGTTTGTTCAAATGAAGGGCCATGCCCTCTTTCAAGGGGAGATAATAAAGAATTAGTGAAAAATTAATAGCATCTTTTAAAAATCTTCTTGTCAAGAACAACAGAGCCAGGGAAGATGAAACTCATGTGGAAGCATTCTCAGGTAGTGTAGATTCAAGTTTGTTCAAATCATGACCCCCAGGGGTAGGGTGGGGCCACAATGGAGGATCAAAGTTTTACATAGAAATATATAGGAAAAACCTTTAAAAATCTTCTTCTCAAGAACAGCAAAGCCATGATGAGTCATATTTATATAGAAGCATGCTCAGGTAGTAAAAATTCAAATTTGTTCAAATCATGACCCCCGGGGGTAGGGCGGGGCCACAATGGAGGATCAAAGTTTTACATAGAAATATATAGGAAAAATCTTTAAAAATCTTCTTCTCAAGAACAGCAAAGCCCTAATTGGTCATATTTATATGAAAGCATCCTCAGGTAGTGTAGATTCAAGTTTGTTCAAATCATGACACCCGGGGGTAGGGCGGGGCCACAATTGAGGATCAAAGTTTTACATAGAAATAAATAGGAAAAACCTTTAAAAATCTTCTTCTCAAGAACAGCAAAGCCATGATGAGTCATATTTATATGGAAGCATCCTCAAGTAGTGAAGATTCAAGTTTGTTCAAATCATGACCCCCGAGGGTAGGGCAGGGCCACAATGGAGGATCAAAGTTTTACATAGAAATGTATAGGAAAAATCTTTAAAAAATCTTCTTCTCAAGAACAGCAAAGCCCTGATTAGTCATATTTATATGGAAGCATCCTCAGGTAGTAAAAATTCAAATTTGTTCAAATCATGACCCCCGAGGGTAGGGCGGGGCCACAATGGAGGATCAAAGTTTTACATAGAAATATATAGGAAAAATCTTTAAAAAATCTTCTTCTCAGGAACAGCAAAGCCTTGATTGGTCATATTTATGTGGAAGCATCCTCAGGTTGTAAAAATTCAAATTTGTTCAAATCATGACCCCTTGGTGTAGGGCGGGGCCACAATGGAGGATCAAAGTTTTACATAGAAATATATAGGAAAAATTTTAAAAATCTTCTTCTCAGGAACAGCAAAGCCCTGATTGATCATATTTATTTGGAAGTATCCTCAGGTTGTGTAAATTCAAGATTGTTCAAATCATGACCCCCTGGGGTAGGGCGGGGCCACAATGGAGGATCAAAGTCTTAAATAGAAATATATAGGTAAATATCTTCTGATGAAGAACTGTAAAGCCATGATTAGTCATTTTGATATGGAAGCATCCTCAGGTAGTGTAAATTCAAGTTTGTTAAAATGATGACCCCCCGGGGATAGGGATGGGCCACAATGGGGGGTCGAAAATTTTACATAGGAACATATAGGAAAATATCCTCTTCTCAAGAACTGAAAATCATGTTTAGTCATTTTGATATGGAAGCATCCTCAGATAGTGTAAATTCAAATTCGTTCAAATGATGACCCCTGGGGTAGGGTGGGGCCCAATGGGGGATTGAAAGTTTTACATAAGAACATGCAGAAAAAATATTTCTTCTCAAGAACAGAAAAGCTATGTTTAGTCATATTGAAATGGAAGCATCCTCAGGTAGTGTAGATTCAAATTTTCAAATATTGACCTCTGGGATAGGGAGGAGCCACAATGGGGGATCAAATTTTTACAAAGGATTATATGGGAAAAATTTTTCAAAATTTACTCAAGTACAACAAAGCCATTTGTTATATTGACATGGAAGCATCATCAGGTATCCCCCCCTCCCCCCCCCCCCCCCCCCCCCCCCCCCCCGGTAACCCTTTCAATACTGAACTGATTTGTGCTTTTGTGCTTTTGCCTAGCCAATGTGCTCAGGTGAGCGATGTGGCCCATGGGCCTCTTGTTTGTTTTGTTTTTGTTTTTTTATTTTTTGATTTAGAAGTGGTGATGTGATTTTATGCTCTCAAAATTCAACATGAAGACACAAAATTATAGAAACAAGTACTTGTGTATTGTGTCGAATGTGCTGCACTAAGATATTGTCATTATAGAACCCAATAAGGTTGATGATGCACTAAAAAGGTATCAATTAAAACATAGATAAGACAACAATTAGTACCAGTTTTAATTTCATGATGGCAGGATTGAAATATGAAAGTGCTGGTCTGTTTTATTACAGATATGAGAATTTTTAGCTCACCTGAGCTGAAAGCTCAAGTGAACTTTTCTGATCACATATTATATGTCTGTCTAGAAAAGCTTCCTGACATAGTGTAGATTCATGTTTATTCAAATAATGACCCCCAGGGGCAGAGTGGGGCCACAATAAGCAATCAAAGTTTTACATAGGAATATATAATATACAGATTTTCCAGTGGATACTTTGACCACAAATAATATTTCAATTTTATTATGTATATTATTAAATGAAATGAAATGGGGGAAAAAAGTGTGAACAAGAATGATACACTGAAAAATTTTATTTTTAATTATGAGCTGATTATATGCTCTAGACCTTTGATAAAGGATAGGTTTTACCTAACGGTGTAGTTACTTCCAAGTGCAGTATCATAAGCCTTGCAAAAATCAGGCTTTTAAATACTACATACATAGTTTTTTGCATGGGATTAATTTATGCTATGGATGCGGTCACAATTTATCTGCAGAAATTTGTCACAGACAGTGTACTTAAAATGCATGAAGGACATATTAATGACAATCCAAGATATCCGCTTAATTTTAACAGATATTGTGATTCCGTGGAATTATGACCCTGTTGAAAAAAGTACATTTACACATGTACAATACACATTACTAAAATTGAAAAAAATTATTTGTGGTCAAAGTAGCCATTGGAAAGTCTTTGTTGTCATATAGCGTAAGAGTATCTGTAGGATCATCTATATAGTATTCATACTTCTTTTGTTCTTACTCATTTGTTGTGATAAAAGTACTACTCGGTTATTTGGCCATCTGCACCTTAATGGGCTTTGGTACATTAGAGTCATTGATCTTTTCAATGCTTTACCTTCAGGGACTTGTTTGAAGACAGATGATTTTCCAACCCTAGCTAGGTGCTTTTTTTTTTGAGCACTGTACTTAATTTTTTCGTCATTTGCCCCAAGACTGCCGTTTTATGTCAGTACCACATGATGACAAAGATTTCACTTCCTCGTGTAAGATCTTGTGACACTGATGTCAACAAATTAATTTTCTTTTTAAATCAAGTGATGCAGTGGAATTGAAAGGAAAAAAGTAAAGTTAAGGAACTTGGTAAAAATGTTTAGGCATTTTTCTGTAATATTTTAAAATGTACTAGCTTCCATACCAAAGTCCAATTTTTTTCTGAGCAGCCCAGAACAGATCAGGAATAATGAGAGGGAAAATACATTGGAGGTCTAGATATTAAAATGGTTTGGTGACATTGATGTTCAGGGGACCCAGCACACAACTGTACTTGAAAACCAAAATGATGCACTTCAGTTTCACATTGACATTTTTATGTTGATGTACTCTATCAAAACAAAAACTGAAAATGAGAATGCCCCCTTAAATCTGCAAACAAAAACTAAATAGCCAGTGGCACCTGCTTTAATGAACTAAGCTAGGTCATGTTTGGCAAAAAAGTGCAGGTGACTCTAAACTCTGTCAAATTATTGACTTTTTTTTTTAAATCTAGGGCCAGGATATTTTCTGAAATACTCATGTGTGAATGAGAATGAACGAATCGACCAAAAAAAAGGCAGGAAATGTAGCCCATTGATTAAATTGATTAATGTATGTGTGTGTTTCATTGATAAAACATGCGAGAGACCTTTTTTTTACCCCTAAAACATTGACATAGTACAATCAATTTCAATTTGACAGCTATACAAGCTCGTTTTCTTTTGAATGAACAAAATTTAAACCAAGTGTTTATCAATGTATGTTCTACATTATGAAAAATTCTATGTACTAGGGTGTGGTCATTATATGGAACAGTTTCATTCTTGACATATTCATCATTTCCATAATTTTCATGGTGGTGTAAATTTTTCATGAATATCAAATTTTTACAGGTATTTTTATTTTTTTTTTTATAAAATTCATTCATACATACATGTTAGTCATTGATTTAACAGTTTGTAGATGGAAATTTTTGTATGGCAGGTATTATATGAGGATGATGATGTTATCTGAATATAGTGATGATGATATTATCTGATGACACAGGCAGGTGTTCCAAGTTGTCAAAAAATTTACTTGAGTAAGCAATAATTACCTAGTCCTATAATGTGGGTACATATGTACCGTTATACTTTGGTCTGTGCTACAAGAAGATTTCAAATATCTAGATTTCTTTGGCAAAATGTATAAGATGGCTTATAACTCAGCTAGATGTTAGGAATCATTAAGGATTTGCACCTGTACTAGTATTTTGGCAGGCTTTATTCCTTCATTGTTCTTGATTCTACATACCAGTGTCATTTTTATTTCATTTTTAATGGATATTGACAATGTTATCAGAAGTTTAAGGGGACCACTGATTTTCAATAGGGTACCTTTTGCCTTTTATAATAAATGTGTAAAGCTAAGTTAGTTTTATGTTTTCATCTTTTGATAAATGTAGCCAAAATCTCAAAGTATGTGTCGCCAATATAATCCTATGCCATCAGACAAATCACGAACTGTGGTGTAATTTACTAATTGTGCGGTGTGTGTAGATTCAGCTGATAGCCTTGCTATTAAAGCTTTAAAAATCAATTTGGATCTTAATTGTCCATTGAAAGTTTGTGGGGAAAAAAGTTGATGTGTGTCATGCATTAATATCCCCCAAGTTATGATTACAGCAGGTATACATCATTTTAAATTTTACTAAATTTTCTTTTTTGTAATTACAGGGTTGTATTTTATTTCATTTTCTTTAAGGGAGCACCAATTTTAAGATGTATTGATAGTAATTGAAGCATAAATCAAGGACTGACTGTTCTTATTCACGTTATAGATTTAGAAATTAGGTCCACTCCCAGGCTGTGTGTGAAGGGTTCTTTTGTAGTCACCATTTTATTTAGAAATATTAATTTCTTTTATAATCAAGTAATATGTGGCCTTTTCTCAGCCTGTAGAGCAATGGAATATCATCAATTTTGGGTTCTAGGGAAATTCTTTCTAATTGATCACACCATATACAATGATTATTCTAGTACTATCCAACAAAAAATCCCATTAGAAAAACCAATTCCTTGCAAAAAAGGAAAATTTCCTGCAATAAATCTTCACAGAAGTCAAATTGTTTCTGCTCAGTCTGTTAATTAAGGTCACATACTAAAGATGGTCATATCAATCACCCACAGTACACAAGTACCGGGCTTTTACTCTAGTCATTTCATTTTTAGTTTAAAATGTTTGGGAATATTATTTGAGTTTTTTAACACCAACAATAATTTTTTTTTCTTTCAAGAACAACAGTATGTTTTCAATAATTTTAAAGCAAAAGATTTCTGTTCATTTATCAGTTTTTAGCTCACCTGAGCTGAAAGTTCAAGTTAGCTTTTCTGATCACATTTTGCCTGGCATTCTTCTGTCCCTCTGTAAACTTTTCACATTTTCAACTTTTCAACAGCCTTTGGGCCAAGACTGAACAAATTTGCCACTAAGCATCTTTGGTGAAGGAGATTCAAGTTTGTTCATTGAAGGACCTGACCCTCTTTCAAGAATAAGTAAAAATTTAAAGACTTTTAAAAATCTTCTTCCCAAGAACCACTTGACCAGAAGAGTTGAAACTTCAGTAAAAAATTCATTACAAAGTGTTGATTCAAGTTTATTCAAATCATGTCCCCAAGGATAGGGTGGAGCAACAATAGGCAATCAAAGTTTTACATAGGAGTATTTAGGAAAAAAAATTTCTGAAGAGCAGCAAAGGCATTAGTCATATTTATATAGTTTGTTCAAGTCAAATTTTTATCGTTATAAAGGAATATATGGGAAATAGAACAACAGGGGCCATAGTGACTCAGATGAGCATTGTAGTCAATGGGCCTCTTGTTTTATTTTACAGGAGGAACTGTCTGCTGCCCTGAAAGAGGTTCTGAATAGCATTAAGCTGACAGAGAGGGGAGTGTTTGTGCAGGCGTCCACTCTTGGTTCACTGGAAGCACTACTAGAATTCCTTCGGACTTCTAAAATTCCTGTACGCCAACTTTCTAACAAAATGTTCTCCTACTATTTGATTAACTATATATTTTATGAAGGTCAAGTGTCTTTCTGTTTAGCAAGTAATTAAACATGTTCTTTTTGAAATTGTCATTTTACTTTGTGTTTTTGCCTTTCAGTATGCGGGCATTAATATTGGTCCAGTGCACAAAAGAGACATAATGAAAGCATCTGTAATGTTGGAACATGACAGCCAGTAAGTGAAAAAAAGAATAAATAAGTTACACCTTAATGTACTTCTAAAAGTGAAACTGCAGCATTTTTATTGCTGTGCACTTTACAACCATGAGCCTTGTATACAGAAATTTTGATGAACCATTGATAATGGCATCAAATTCTGCCAGTAGAGTTGATTGACACAGATTTAGTCTAACGGTGTCACTTTATTCTGGGGTGTCATGTCTTATACAAAAATCGAGCCAGTATTATGAGCATTTCCTCTCCTTTATTGCAGGAAAAGACAGCCATTAAATTGCTAGCAAAACTTCATTCACACATAATTGAAATCTTGAAACGTTTGAAGAATATGGCAGTCTGATAATGATGAAATGCTACTCGATTGGGAAATGAATTCATTCATTTTGGGGGAAGCTGGAATTTTAATGTGAAGAGATTTTTTTCCTTTTATTGATTAAATATCAGCACAACTAGTCCATGGGAATTTATCATATGGCTTTGCATTGAAAAGATTGGTACATAATTGAAACTAGAAAGTTGCTCATTTTGTCCCATTTAAATGGATAAGAAAAAACTTTTTTTCTGAACAGGGCGTTTTCTAATTAAAAAAACAAAAAATCAATTGAATAGAGATATTTAAGATTTGGAATGAAATGCATGTTTGGTAAAGGAAATACAGGGTCAGTGATTGAAACTTATAGAGATAAACTTAAATTGATCAGTGTTTTTAAAATCAAAGTCAAACATGTACTTTTCTTGTTTGAGAAGCATGTCTAAGGAAAAGGAATCAGGGTTTACCTCATCATCAGACGCGGGATATTGATCAATTACAAGGGTCAGATTTCTTACAGACAAATGCTCTCAGTCCATTTCCATCCTGTCGATGCAGATTTGTGTGGATAAAGTGCTCTTTCATCTACATTACAATGCTATATGATTTCTGATACCTCAGCAGAATAACATTATTGATTCTGCTCTGTCTCGTATTACGGGTCAGAGTTCTTGGGTATTTCCGCTAGGATTAGCCAGCTTCAACCTGTAAATGGATATGACATAACTCAATGGGTGCATTTTTTTTCTGTTGGCAGTGGAAAAAAAAGAAAGTTTAGTTGTGAAAGTAGTTGTTGAAAACTTTGTGAAGTGGCATAATTTTGGAGATAATTTTGTTCCTTCTCATCAGCAGGTGTTTGATATGACAGGTTGACACTCTGTCACTAAATTTTGTTGACTCACTGCTGTTGTAATTTCACTCAATATCTGTGAAACCTTGGGTTTTTTGCAAGCATGCAAAGTAATACTCTGTGCTCTTCAATCATTTCAACCCACTGTTCAAGCTTAATTAAAGTTACTTTCACACCAACTAACATTCTCTTCTCCACTTTTATTGGTACTCACCTGTTGTTGACAGTCCCTACTTCATGTATAGACTACACATTTGTAATGGGGAAACATTAGAAGTTTATGATTGATACAGAGGTTGTCTGTCAGAGAGGTTGTGTTATTACTACTCATAATCATGCCTATGGCTAGTATAAAAAGTTATGATCCAAGGGTATGATGTGATTTGACCAAGGTAGTTTGGTGAAGTTCACTGGAATCAGGAAAAAGTTCTTGCCCAGGCCACAATTTTTTTTTTTATTGCAGGAATTGTAGAAGTTTATATTTGTCATAAAGTTTGCTTATTGCATAAGGTATTGTTGTGACTCTTGGTCAAGGTCATTTGGACTAGTTTATGGTATGTGGAAACAAAGTGTAAAATTCTTTTTTTAGGCCATTACTTTGCAGTGCAGTGGTTGTAGATTTATTGGCTTGATGACCTGATAGTGTGAGTCATTTTGACAAGTCAAGGTCATAGGGATCAAAATTTGTATAATCTTATCATGAGTTTGTGATGTATAGATTGTACAAGCTCTTACTTGACGAAGATACTGCTTTATGACCAGTAGGTGTCATCCTGAAACGTGCTGAATATTAAGCCACTTGTAATGTTTAGGTAAATGTTTTTCCTACCTTATTCTGATTTTGTTTGTTTTTCTTGAAAATATGAATGTCACAAGTATTCCTTGTGACAAGAACTTCCTTTGAGTACCAACATATTTGACTTCTTGACCTTGACCTTGGAGTTTGACCCACTTTTGTGAAAATTTACCCAACTTTAACCTTGTCCATAAATTTTGAAAATTTAGTACTAGGACTTTCAAATTTCACAGGTATATTTCTTGTGACAAGCCCTTCCTTGAGATACCAACAATTTTGACCTTGCCCTTGGAGTTTGACCCACTTTTAAAAAACTTTAACCTTGGCCATTACTTTTGAACAGTTTGTACTAGGACTTTCAAATTTTACAGGTATATTTCTTGTGACGAGACCTTCCTTTGGATACCAACAATTTTGACATTGTCCTTGGAGTTTGACCTCCTTTTGAAAAACTTTAACCTTCGCCATAACTTTTGAACAGTTGGTTCTAGGGCATTTATATTTTGCATGTGTATTTCCTATAACAAGGTCTTCACCTGCATACCTTTAATTTTGACCCCTTGACCTTGACTTTGGAGTTTGACCCACTTTTAGAAAATATTAACCTTGACCATAACTTTTGAATGGTTGGTACTTGGGCTTAACCAGGTATTTACCAGGTATATTCATTGACACAGGTCCTTTCTTTGGGTAACAACATTTTTGATCTTGCATGACCTTGGAGTTTGAATTGCATTTGAGAAACTTTAACCTTCGACATAAGCTGCCATATGGGGGCATCAGTGTTTCACAAACACATCATTTTTTTTAATACCGGGTAGATTTAATATTGCAATATCTTGGTATAGCAAAAATAACCTCCATGTTTATGGCTTTTGCTTGTAATTCACGTAATTAATGACACAAATAAATTTTAAATTTTTACAGTACACAATCTAAGTTTTAAATATTTGTTGTTTTTTTTCAGATATGCTGTGATTCTTGCATTTGATGTACGGGTAGAGAGGGAAGCTCAAGAAATGGCGGACAGCTTAGGAGTGAAAATCTTTACAGCGGACATTATTTACCATTTATTTGATAAATTCATGGCTTTTAGAGACGAAGTGAAGAAAAAGAGACAAGATGAATTCAGACATATAGCAGTGTTTCCCTGCAAACTTCGAGTGCTGCCTCAATATGTGTTTAATTCTAGAGATCCCATTGTGGTAGGGGTGTCAGTCGAAGCAGGCTTTGTCAAAATTGGAACACCATTATGTGTACCAAGTAAAGAGGTAAGCCTCAGTTGCTGGATCTTTATTACCTGATTGGAGAGCATGAAAGAAAAAAATATGCCTCTTTTCAATGGGGGAGAGTTTCTTTTGCCATGATTATCTATCTGTCTACTTAAGGTCATGCTTTCGAATTCTTGATTGAAAAGAAATCAAATTTTGTTATTTTGTTGCTCATGACCTGAAGGTGTTCCATGTCTTAGACTCAAATTATGCTCAAATGTCAGGATTGTATAACAAATAATGTGAACCATGATGATCAGTATGAATTTGAACCTAATAGCATGCAGATGCCTGTCACAGAAGTATCTTCATTTTTTCACTCGGATCTCAGTCACCTAACTATGGCATGTTGATATGTCACAAATTGTGATTTGGTGTTTAACTTGTATGTTTTGACATTGAATTTGTCACAATGTTTATACAAGGTTGTCATTAAGGTCACATTGTGATGACAGACAAAGGGGTTTTTGACAAGGGCGGATGCATTCATTTTTGTTCTGGACATGATTGCATGGACACTGGACAGACAGACAAAATTTAAAAAGAACATGTTTTAAATCCTTTTATTTAATATTCTGATATATTTCTGCCAAAAGACCTTTAATACATTAAGGTATACCATCTTGTAATGCAGAAAAAAATTGTCATCCACAAAAACAACAGATATAAATATCTCATTAGATTAAGAGATTTCCATAATACCAACTGAGTATAGCAGCCATCCGTTACCATACAAAGGATCTTAAACATCAGTTATCTTTCTTACTGGTGAACATTAGTTCAAGTTACTCTAATACCAGCTCCAGTTTCAATTTCTTCAAAGGATTCAGATACTGAATGCCCTTAAATTTTATATCCCTTGCAAACATGGGATAGTTCGAGGGGGTGTACAGAAATCACCTTGTTCATCTGTCTGTCCATGCAATCATGTCCAGACCATTACTTTGTGATGCAAAAGCTTATACTTGACACAAAGATTGTTTATGACCTAAGGGTGTAATGAACTTGACTCAAGATCATTCGGATAATGTCAAGGTCACTGGTATAAAAAGTGTAAAACATTTTTCGATAACTTTCTAATGGAAAAACATTGGAGGTATTCTCTACACTAAGATTACATGTATTACCTGAGGATGTGTCATGACTTTGACCCAAGGTCATTTGTGCAAGTTTAAGGTCACTGGCAGAAAAATGTACAATTCCTGTCATGGGGACATCTTAAAATGGAGAAACTTTGAAAGCTCATACTTGAAACAAAGTTTGCTTGTGACCTGGGGGAAGGGTGGTATATCATGGCCTTGACCCAAGGTATATAAGGTATGGAAAAGTATATAATCCTTTTCTGCTCCCAAACTCTCTAATGGAGAGATGTTGGAAGTTCATACTTTACACAAAGGTTAATGTCCTAAGGATATACCTTGACATTGACTTAGGTCATTTAGGCAACTTCAAAGTCACTTGTGGAAAAAATTTCTTCCTTGCCTTGTATGATTTCTGTCCTGGCTGTATCTTGTAATGGAAAAGTATTGGAAGCTCAATCTAGATACAGGGATTGATTATGACCCTAGTATGTGACCTTATCTTGACCAGGTCATTTAGGCAACTTCAAGGTCACTGGCAGAAAAGGTGATAATTTGTGTCAGCTTCTTAACTTATTAATGAAGAAACATTAGATGCAGCAATTAAAAAATTAGGGGTTTATTTAAAGCCTAGATTGCCACTAGTTTTCATATTTCTCTGAATACAATCTGGTACAGATACTAGGTACAGAATTTTACATACAAACATGCATTCCTTTGTGTATTATTACTTTCTTCTTCACTGTAAACATCTTGTAATTGTAAACATCTTGTAATGAAATCTGTCATTCTAACTGAGAGAGGTAAAAACACACTATTTAATTTAATCCTAAAGTTTTGCTTAGTGTTGCACTTTTAGCTATATACTAGACACAAAAACTGGTACAAACACATGTTTGACCTAGTCTAAATTGTGACCAATAAAAAGTAGACATTGCTGATAATCAAGAAGGGGATGGGAGGATAAAAAAAAATTTAGATCAGAGCAATCGGTGAACAAACTCTTTCATGTTATAGAATGGTAGAAATCAAAACAGCATTGACTTTTCAGTAAATATGCAAAAATTGCAGGATGAGCAATGAATTGGGGGAATATTTACAGGAAGTGGTTATTAATTAATCGGTGTGAATAATTGCATGCAGGCAGATAGGAGGTTAAGATAGTAGACAGTAGAGAGGAGCATTATCTACATAATGTTCTCAGAAGCCAATACATTTTACAGTTTTTCTCCACTGTCATGGTCAAGACGACCACAAACCACAAGATGATGATGAGATTTCTTGACATATGATCAATAGCCATATCATGTTTTGTAAACATGTTTACTATGGTCAGGATAATGAGAGGGCACTCAGTACACTTGGGTATGCCCGAATCTTTTTGCCAACTTCATTCAAAAAACCATAGGCTGTTTCAAGTTGGCATAAACTTTGATTTTTATCTTTTAGATTATGGAGTAATTTCAATATTTGCTTTTATTTTATACTTGATTTGGAAATCATGCTTTAAAGTTGGTGCAGTTATTTAATCAATCATGCAGTGGGATGCATTCAGTATTGCAGTTTTATTGAGTTTTCGTGCTGAAATTTGAAGGTCAATAAATTCAGATATGGATTCTTATCATACATTTTTAATGTAAAATTATTACAGTTAAACTTGGAAAATATATTAAACTTTTCCTGCGTAGTCTTATAACTATCAACATTTTTATTTCTGTTGACATTTTATCTTGACCAATAAATTGGCTACTGTAAGGTCTTGGGAACTGTGTACTCTTACAACCAGGCACGGAACATACATCTCTCTGACACAATAACTAATGTAACAAGGGTAACAAATACTTCAACCTAGCATAAAACATTTATCACAAGCATGTAGAGAAAATGGCTGTATCCTCTTATCACATTACATCAGATGAAAAGGTATTCAGGTTTACTTATCAGGTATGTGTCTCATGTACAAGGAAGAGTATTTATTTTCCTAGCCTCTGTTGAAAAAGTGAGAGAAAATAAGTAAAGAATCATTACTTAGATAATTTAGATGTATCTGGAGCAGGGGTTCAGATCCACTGGTGCACTGAGGGTATAGAAATCACTTGACACATTTCCTATGCATAGTTGTAATTATCATCAACTTTTAAAATGCTGCACTTCAGCTTTTTTCCTGAAACATAAGAGAAAGTGACTGTATAGGATAAAAATTTTTTTCAGTGTTTAATCTTGTATGCAGAAAATATCAGTTAGTACTCTGCAATATTTCGAGCTAAATGAAATAAATATAAATGCTTCTTGCAGAGGCAGTGATATTTTTCTGTACTATTGTTGCCGATTCTTTGTTCAGTATCTGAAGTCCTAAGTGAGTAGGAATATTTTGTGGTAATACCACACCTACTGGTTATAATTATCTGCAATGATTTTGTAACCCACTCATCTTCAGAAAAGTGAATAGTAGAGTAAAGATTACTAGCTACCTCCTACGACGAAATAAATCTCAAAACATACTATTGGCAGCAAAAAGGGATTGGCTTAAAGAATCTGATGCATTCTGATGTTTTTAGGCCATATATTTTATTTGCACTTTATTCTTTTCCGTTGTTTTCTTCCTATGTATATGAAAATGTAAGCTGGCAGGATGAATGGAATCGGTTTGTGAGGCAACAGGAAGTGAGCTTTATTGCTGGAAACTCCTGCCAAATTCTGCCCCCATAGACTTCCTCCATTCTTCCAGGTTTATCTAGATTTCATAAGAATTCATCTGTAAATGAAATGATATTGCATTCATCAATGGCATGACTCCAAGTTGTAGAATTAAAATTATGTGGATCAGAGTTTACAAATAACTAATGTTATGATATTTTGCTTCATATTTTGTCTATAATCTGTTTTTAACTTCCATTTAAAAAATTTAAAAGATGTACATTTGTATATATGTGATAAATAAGCATAACAATATTGATGTATGAATCTTTTTATCTGAGGAATTTGCTGCATCATGCATAGCACACAGACATAAGCCTCCACATCGTTGCAATAATTCAGAAAAAGATAAGAATGCTTCATACAAATTTGAAAAATGGAAGACAGAGCATTGAGAATTTTGAGCTTGATTTTGATGGGGGCACTATTGATGTTGAAGTTTTAGACAAAACAGCTGCTATCTCTCAAGCAAACATGGTACTGACGTCAAAAAATGCTTCCGGAAACACATGCTGCTAATCGCTACCACTTCCCATCCTTAGCCAAATTTCAATTCACCTGGCAAAATTTCAGAACTTCTAAAGTAACTCTTCAGTAAAGAATTCACCCTCCTTGATAATATAAGCCTGTATCAGGCATGCAGAATTTTCAGCATCATGAACATGGCTGTAAATATATCAAAAAGAGGAAATTTGTCATTGATATTTGTGAATGAAACAAGCTGCTGCAGAAAATTTATTTTTCTAGCCTCCCCCATCTTGATGAAGGTCATCTGGTGCACTGCCAGTGATGTATGAAGTTTGACATAGCATAATGAAAAGCCAAGGATGCCATGATCTGATGATAATTCATTGTTGAAGCCTCCCTGTACTCAGAACAAAAAAAAATCCTATTTTGTCCGCAAAGCAGAAGTTCATTTATGTTGCAATAACAGGAAGCGTTGGCATCAAACTGATACCAATGGGGGATGAAAATTATATCATAAATATTTCATTGAAAAAAGTACATTCAAGCCAATGATCAAAAAGTATTTATACATCATGAATAACAAGGCTATAAATAAGTAACACCAATCGTTTTTGCATTCTTTGACATTTTTGACACACTTTTTATCAACACATATTTAATTTTACTTGTTTTTGTTGTACTCTTACCAGTGGTCTTCTTTGTGGGTTTTCTTGGAAATTAGTCAATCTGTCTGACAGAAGCATGATATTTTGTGTCTGTACATGTCAAATTTTGAGGAACATGTCTTTGACAAACACACAACAAATCGCTTCTGTTCCTGGTATTCATGAGTTTCTTTACATTATCTTTGCAATATATTGTCTTGTACTTTATTGCTTTAGTATACATCCAGCCAGCTGTCTTTCATATGTATTGTAGAAGTGAGTACTGTAAATCGTGACTTAGGTATTCCTACCTTTCCTCATGTTAACATTATACTATATTAACAATTAAACTGTTAACAGTTTAACTAAATGTGTGGTGAATTACAGACATCAGATGATATGTCATTTGGACCTTTCAATGAGACCAGACTGGTCATAGATTCCTGAATTCATACAGTCTAAATTTTATACTGCTCTTTTACCTGGTGTTTGTATGGCCCTATGCAGTTAGGATTTAAAACTACACACAGTGTTTATGATCTTTTTTTTCATGAATTTTTCATTAAATATCTCCATACAATCGACTGAGGAAAATATTTTTTTAAAAGAAATTCTGAAAAATTTTGTCTTCTAATTCAGATAAACTTTTCTGCAGGTTATGTTCAGTTATCTATTTTGCCTGCAATTTATCTCCATTTTGCCAGTGGGTGAAGCAGTGCGACATGTATGAGAGTTAAATTTGCATTTTGATAATCTGATTCTGATTGGTGTTTTATCAATATGGAGGGAAAAAAAAGAGAGACCTGGAAAATTGAATCAAGGTCACCCAACTTCCTGTGTTGTTTTGTGCAGGAGGATGTCCAACAAGATGGTGTGATCATCCAAGTTTAATGAGACTCTGCAAACTGTCAACAGAGAGGAAACTTATTGTGTCATCAAGGTTGTTCCATTTCAAAGGAGATGGCCACAGCCAAGTCATCTCTTGGATCCCTCAAAGGGAGAGGAAGTCTGCTTGACTGAATGCAGTTCTTTTCTTCTTGTAAACCTGTCTTTCTAACTTCATCCCAATTTTATTTTCTACTTTTGCATATAAGATTTTGTTTTTGTTCAAAGCTGATGTGTTTATCCCTGACTCTTAATTCCTCATTTCCCAGTTCCCAAGGAATTGCGTTTTAAATATATTTACTTAGAATAAAAAGTTCATCTTTTCTTTTTACTGGAAAGGTAGACCACCCATACGTAACTTTTGGTGTGTTGCTTTAATAAATTATTTATAAACAAGAGAGAAACTAATTAACATTGTAGGGATGGAAAGCAAACTTTGTTGATGCAAATGAAGTGCAAATGTTTGCAAGGCTTTTCTGGTTGCCTCCAGAACCTTCACATGGGATACCTGTAAATTACTCATTGTTGATCTCAATGTCTGAGATTTGCAGGTAATGTGAAGGTTATCCACAAGTTAATGTAAAGCACTAGAATACTTTGCTCATCATTGTAAAAATGTATTCCAAGTAAAATTGTAAAATTTTGTACTATTGATTCACATTGGTCTCAAAGTGAATGTAATGGAAGGATGTTGATGGTCTTGAAATTGAAAATAAGATTGAGGTTACTCCAGGAAAAAAATTTCAATCAATGGAAATGAAAATATATTATCCTTTGAAAAAGAGGTTTCAGGAGTATTTACTTCCAAAACTTTTTTATATATCCTGTATGTCCAAGTTAAAGTGGTTTTGTTGTCTGCTTGGCAAAGCTTGAGGTCTAACAACACCGGAAACAGATGCAGGAGGCATAGCTCACGGAAATGCTGATTGAGAGAATAACAGTGTTAAATGATCAGAAGATTCTCTCCATTCTATAAATAATCGTGGCTTCGAGAAGCACCGAGGTTGTAAGCAGTGGGGTAGGGTGTGTTCTGTCTGACTCTTATCAGGTGGAGGATTTTTAATCAGATCAGAAATCAAAGACAGGCCCAGACTTCGTTCAGATAAAATTACCTTGCCTGCAGTTGCTGTAATGATGTTAAAAGTCATCTGATAGCAGTCCAGAAAGGCTACAGTTTTTCAGTTATGTTTATTTTTTTTATGGTGTATTGAACTGTCTCTAGGTCCTATGATGGTTTTGCCTGATCAGTCATAGTAAGCAAATAGATGATTCAGAAGTTGTTTTTTTTTAGTTTGTCAGAAGTGTCAAAATTTGGTTAGTATGCTAAAAGGATTGAAGGCATAAATTACTGTGTACATATCAAGTGCCTCTTTTTAAAAATAGTTTATATATATCATTCCCCCCCCCCCCCCCAATCCCCAGTTACAATAAACCACTTTTGTGAAAACTAATGATTTAAGTTAAATGTATAAATATGATTATTTAAGTAGTGAAAACTCAAAACCTAATGAACCAGTGTAAAAAAACATAACCACTACAACCAGATTTAGCATTCAAAATATCCAAATCTGTATAATATTGTATGTATGGTCATCTTTGCAAACTGACTGACAGATCAAAATTTGTTTTTATGCCTCATTTTGCTCAGTTCATTTTATGGAATTCCAACAGGGATTACTTTGTACAACTCCATACAAGATAAATGTCTGTGAGAGCATTTCAATCGTATTTAATATTAATAGATCATATATAAATTTGTAAAATATAGAGAGAAAATAAAATAATAAGACATCATTTAGCTGTTGTATAATTAGGATGAATCACTGCTACATACCATGCTACAAAAGGCAACAAATATACTAATGGTATCAGTTCTGTATAGGAAAAGGAAATCAAAATTATTCTTACTCTCATCTCATTTTATTATTACTGTACTTCAAACATTAAGGTCCATTTTTTAGCTCACCTGAGCCAAAGGCTCAAGTGAGCTTTTCTGATCAAAATTTGTCCGTTGTCTGTTGTCGTTGGTGTTGGCGTTGTCGTAAACTTTTCACAATTTCATCTTCTTCTCCAGTTCCACTGGGCCAATTTCAACCAAACTTGGCACAGAGTATCCTTGGATAAAGGGGATTCAAGTTTGTTCAAATGAAGGGCCACGCCTTCTTCCAAGGGGAGATAATTTCGAATTCATGAAAAATTTATGGCATCTTTCAAAAATCTTCTTCTCAAGAACCACTGTGTTAGAAAGTTTGAAACTTATGTGGAAGCATCCTCAGGTAGTGTAGATTCAAGTTTGTTCAAATCATGACCCCCAGGGGTAGGGCGGGGCCACAGTGGGCGATCAATATTTTACGTAGGAATGCATGGGGAAAATCTTTAAAAATCTTCTTCTTAAGAACAGCAAAGTCTTGATTGGTCATATTTATATGGAAGCATCCTCAGATAATGTTGATTCAAGTTTGTTCAAATCATGACCCCTGGGGGTAGGGTGGGGCCACAGTGGGCGACCAAAGTTTTACATAGGAATACATGGGAAAATATTTAAAAACCTTCTTCTCAAGAACAACAAAGCCATGATTGGTCATATTTATGTGGAAGCATCCTCAGGTAGTGTTGATTCAAGTTTGTTCAAATCATGACCCCTGGGGTAGGGTAGGGCCACAGTGGGCGATCAAAGTTTTACATAGGAATACACAGAGAAAATCTTTAAATATCTTCTTCTCAAGAACAGCAAAGTTTTGATTGGTCATATTTATATGGAAGCATCCTCACATAGTGTTGATTCAAGTTTGTTCAAATCATGACCCCTGGGGGTATGGCGGGGCCACAGTCAAAGTTTTACATAGGAATACATGGGGAAAATCTTTAAAAATCTTCTTCTCAAGAACAACAAAGCCATGATTGGTCATATTTATATGGAAACATCCTCAGGTAGTGTTGATTCAAGTTTGTTCAAATCATGACCCCTGGGGGTAGGGTGGGGCCACAGTGGGCGATCAAAGTTTTACATAGGAATATTTAGGGAAAATCTTTAAAAATCTTCTTCTCAAGAACAGCAAAGTCTTGGTTGGTCATATTTATATGGAAGCATCCTGAGATAGTGTTGATTCAAGTTTGTTCAAATCATGACCCCTGGGGGTAGGGCGGGGCCACAGAGGGCGATCAAAGTTTTACATAGGAATACATGGGGAAAATATTTAAAAATCTTCTTCTCAAGAACAGCAAAGTCTTGATTGGTCATATTTATATGGAAGCATTCTCAGATAGTGTAGGTTCAAGTTTGATCAAATCATGACCCTCTGGGGTAGGTAGGGCCACGATGAAAGTTTAAACTTGTAGGGAAAAATCACAGTTAGTCAAAAAAAAATGTGTAAGCATCCTTAGTTAGTGTAGATTCAATTTTGTTGAAATCATACCCCCCCCCCTCCCTTTTAGGGGTAGGTTGGGACCACTTATGCATTTAAGCATTGCAATACTAAACTGATTCTTGCTTTTTTCGCAGCCACAGTGCTCAGGTGAGCGATGTGGCCCCTGGGCCTCTTATTTTATGTTGCAATAGAAATTTACCATATTGAACAAGTATTCATTTCCTATGACATTTTTCTACTTTTTAATGAAAATACATTATGATTAATATGATTTAATGTTTTCTTTTCAGTTCATAGAAATTGGTAGAGTAGTTTCTATAGAAAATAACCACAAACCAATAGAAAAAGCCACTAGAGGGATGGAGGTTTGCATCAAGGTCGATGCCATTCCTGGAGAGGCCCCCAAGATGTTTGGGCGACACTTTGATGAAACAGATTTGTTATATAGCAAGGTAAGTTAGCATTAAATTAATTATTATCTTCACGGCCAGTTCTCTGAAGTTGCTTGTTCAGGTGAGCAAGACTTTCCTGGAGCTAAGCCTTCATTATCAGTGTTTAAAGCTACTGTTTTAATTTTAATAAATTGGAGGATGATATACCATAAGGCTTTAATAAAGGCAGTTTTCTGATAGAAGTATGTTTTAGTTGCGCTCTCTTAATTTTGAAATTTTTATTCCATTGCTGAAATTCAACTGTCCTTTGCAAGCCATTTATCATTTTTATGTCACCTGAGTCACCCAGACTATTTCCATCCGTTGTCAGACTCCATTGACATTTGAACATTTTCAGCTTTTTCTCTGGAACTGCTCTAATTTCAACCAATTTTAGTATATGGCATATATGGGCAAAGGAGACAGAAAATGTGAATTTCATGCCCCCCTTCTCCGGGGCCTTGAGGGTGGGGTCAAAACCATCAAAATTAATGCCATCTTTTTAAAATCTTCTTTACTCCAGAAGATCAAGTAGTCGAACTGTTAGCCTGATTATAAGGAGCATTGAGCCCTCTAAAATTGTGAAATTCATGGCCCCAGGGTCAGGGGTTCTGGTGTTAGGTCTGGGCTCTATTGATCATATAGTGTAGTGAAAATGGATTAATTCTCTGAAAAATCCTCTTCTCTGCTCCTGAGTATTTAGTAGACAAACTAAGTGCTTGGTTATGATGAGCAAGGATGCCTCTTCCAAAATTGTGAAATTCATAACCATAGGGACAGGGGTTCTGTTGTTGGGTGGGGGCTGTATTGAACTTATAGTGAAAATACATCATTATATCATTTTATTTTAAATCATCTACTAGCTCAGCTCCTGGGCATCTAATAGTTGACATGGTTGGAATTGGCAAAAGTGTTTTTACCAGATTGTGAAATTCATGACCACTGGGATAGGGGTTCTGGTGTAAGGGCAAGACTCTTGATCATGTAGGAAATTTTTACTCTACTTTGAGAGAAGTTATTTTCCCTTTTTTTATTCACCTAAGATAATTAATCTCTCTTTAAATTATGTAATTAATTGGTCATTTGCATAAAACACTGTACAAGAAATTTCAAATGTATACCGGTAATACTAAAAATACTTTTATAGTTTTCATGGTCTGGTGTACTTGTAAATGATAAAAAAGATAAAATTGCATTTTTTATACTGTGAATATTGTTTGAAGACCAGCAGAGGTTCATCACATTGCAGATGATGGCTGCAGTGCATTGTATAATGCTCTGCAAAAGGACTTTGTCATGGAAGAGATTGATGCTAGTGTCAAACTTCAGCATTGCTGAAGACTACACTATAATACATTGAACCTTCAGATTTAAAGCAGATTACCAGACAAACCATAGGTGACTGTTAAGGCCCTTGGGCCTCTTACATGTACTACAGAACAGAAAGCAAAAAAGGTCATAGATATATATATTATTCATTCTTTTACATGTCTTGGCAGCAACGGAAGTAATCCATCTCAGATGGGACCAAGAATGTTCATACAAGCTTGCTATTTATTAATGGGGAATCTTTGGTGGACATGAGATCTGATTATGCGTTGACATAAACAGAAAGGACGCATCAGCCTCTTAGTGCACTGATAAATTTCTTTCTTTGTCATTAATGTGTCATCAAATGTGTTTATGTATGTTTATGAATTCAAAGTAAGAGTCTTGCAGAGATTTGTTATACCTGCTCTGTGGTTATTTTGTTTGTCATACAGGTTTATTTGCAAAGGGCCAAACTGACCTGTTCAATATTGAGCTGAAGTTCTGTAAGTTTACCGTGTCTAAATCCTCTCGTGTTTGTTTACATTACCTATGTCTCATTCAGTGTTTTAACCTGACATTCTTCTTCATCCTCGGGGATATAAACATCTGATGAATAAGTGTCAATACAGCCTTCTCTTACTGTACTGAATATCACCTGGCATCAGGATTAGAAAGATACTGAATAAAATGGATACGTCTTTAATTCCCCAAAGAAAAATAAATTAAAGCCTAACATATTGTTATTGAACATGTGGGAAGGATTTTTGTCTAGCTTTACTAATATATATAAGGTGTAGAGTACTCAAGGACAGAGATTAATTGCAGTCCTGTTTTGCAAGTTTAATCCCAGTTCATTAATATCTTCCACTTAATAAAAAAAGATTACAATGTTTTGGGCCAAGCATTATGAAAATGTAGTAAATTTACACTAAGGGCGTATTGTGGGAGCAGCATTATGAAACTGTACTGAGAACACTGTGATTTAATTGGATAGTTTGAATTTTGATGTTTTGTTTTTGTTGTCAGTACAGTCATTTTGGAGTTGACACTGGCAACACTTGTTGGACATTAACATTATTACTATCATATATCACTTCTCAAGTACAGTTAAATCATTCAATGTCACGGTCATAGCTGAGTGCAGAAAAAACCAAGGAAATTAACTTGATATTTTCAGTGTCCTGTGAGGTTTTTAGCTCACCTGAGCCGAAGGCTCAAGTGAGCTTTTCTGATCACATTTTGTCCGTCGTCCGTCCGTCCGTCTGTCTGTCTGTCCGTCCGTCTGTAAACTTTTCACATTTTTGACTTCTTCTCAAGAACCACTGAGCCAATTTTGACCAAACTTGGTACAAAGCATCCTTGGGTGAAGGGGAATTTAAATTGTTAAAATGAAGGGCCAAGTCCCCTCACAAGGGGAGATAATCAAGAGAAGACAAGTATAGGGTGGGGTCATTAAAAAATCTTCTTCTCAAGAACCACAGGGCCAGTAAAGCTGAAACTTATATGGAAGCATCCTGGGGTAGTGTAGATTCTAAATTGTTCAAATCATGACCCCCGGGGGTAGGGCGGGGCCACAATGTGGAATCAATGTTTTATATAGAAATATATAGGAAAAATCTTTAAAAATCTTCTTCTCAAGAACCACTGGGCCAGAAAAGCTGAAACTTATATTGAAGCATCCTGAGGTAGTGTAGAATCTAAATTGTTCAAATCATGACCCCCGGGGGTAGGGCGGGCCACAATAGGGAATCCAAGTTTTACATTGAAATACATAGGAAAAATCTTAAAAAATCTTCTTCTTAAGAACCACTGGGCCAGAAATACTGAAACTTATATGGAAGCATCCTGGGGTAGTGTAGATTCTAAATTGTTCAATTCATGACCCCCGGGGTAGGGCGGGTCCACAATAGGGAATCCAAGTTTTACATTGAAATATATAGGAAAAATCTTAAAAAATCTTCTTCTCAAGAACCACTGGGCCAGAAAAGCTGAAACTTATATTGAAGCATCCTGGGGTAGTGTAGAATCTAAATTGTTCAAATCATGACCCCCGGGGGTAGGGCGGGGCCACAATGTGGAATCAATGTTTTATATAGAAATATATAGGAAAAATCTTTAAAAATCTTCTTCTCAAGAACCACTGGGCCAGAAAAGCTGAAACTTATATTGAAGCATCCTGAGGTAGTGTAGAATCTAAATTGTTCAAATCATGACCCCCGGGGGTAGGGCGGGGCCACAATAGGGAATCCAAGTTTTACATTGAAATATATAGGAAAAATCTTTACAAATCTTCTTCTCAAGAACCACAGGGCCAGAAAAGCTGAAACTTATGTGGAAGCATCCTGGGATAGTGTAGAATCTAAATTGTTCAAATCATGACCCCCGGGGGTAGGGCGGGGCCACAATAGGGAATCCAAGCTTTACATTGAAATAAAAAGGAAAAATCTTTAAAAATCTTCTTCTCAAGAACCACAGGGCCAGAAAAGCTGAAACTTATATGGAAGCATCCTGGGGTAGTGTAGATTATAAATTGTTCAAATCTTGACCCCTGGGGGTAGGGCGGGACACAATAGGGAATCCAAGTTTTACATTGAAATATATAAGAAAAATCTTTAAAAATCTTCTTTTCAAGAACCACTGGACCAATAAAGCTGAGACATATTTGGAAGCATCCTGATGTAGTGTAGATTCTAAATTGTTCAAATCATGACCCCTGGGGGTAGGGCGGGGCCACAATAGGTATATTAAAAGGGGGGAAATCTGGTAAAGAACAGCATGGCCAAAGTTACTCAGGTGAGCGATGTGGCCCATGGGCCTCTTGTTTAACTATATGATCTTTGATATTTCTTGTTATACAAAGTTCATTACTCAGAAGTCTTACTTCCATACTGATATAGTTATTTTACAATTTGGATAATAAATTGTTTGACTATCTCTAACAATACTTTTGACATCTGATGGTCAGATAATCCTCACTACAGTAAAGCAAGCTCTACCACTGGTTAACAAAGATGAACAGTGATCCTTAGATTTATTGATTTAGGTGTAGTTGAAAAATGTACACCTTTGACCCAGAAATGTTTTTCAGTCTTTTCAAGATGTCACAGTGTTGCCTTCAATAAATGAAAATGCTCCGGATTGTGTTCTTACGTGATTGATGTCCGACTTGTCACCTAAAGAGGCGGGAAGCCCATCATTAAACAAATCCTCCTTGCACAATATTCTGAACTGCTTCTTCTCTGACAAGGTTAAAAGATCAGAGGTTAAGGCCAAAAAGTGGGGGTACCACTCTCCTTCATTTGCAGACTGCTTGTCATTTATCATTTGATTCCTATGCTCTTTAAGTAATCAAAACTAGGCAAGGTTAAAATGAAGTTGCTTCAATGATCTGGAAACATCATATCTTTGGTTGTGTTTTCCCTCCAATGTGACTACTGTTTTTTGCCCACAAAATCCAATTTTTGCATGCTTAGTCCTGCCTCTGAGATGTGATTTATCATGTGGGCTTTAGCTATATGTATTGATTATACCAGTCTATGTAGTTTTATCTTTGCTGTATCCTATCATCTGTATGTCATTTTAGGTACACTCACATTAAGAGCTGGGTGTGTTATATTTTGTAGATGTCTGTACTATATAGTACATTCAATATGTCGTCGAAGGACCCCGTTGCTTGCCGGATGTGAAGTCCCATAGTTCTGCCTTTTATCAAGCAAGAACTACAAATTAAACTCCTACACTTTACGGGAAACTTAGTAAAGTATGGAAATGAAAAAATGCAGCTTAAAAAATAGAGCTTTTTTTTTTTAATCTTTTTTTTTCCCAGCGCTACTTGCTGTTAATGATTACTGACTTTTATTCTCCCCTGTTCTGCAGTGGATTTACACAGTACCGTTTTATCATAATCATACAGGGTCTCTAAGTTTTAAATACATCATTATTTTGTCACCTCCTACTGAGATTTGGACATTAAGGTCAATTTATGTGTATAAATTGCTCTATTTTACTTCTATGGATTCATAGTAAAACAAGCCATTGGTGTGTGTGATTGTTTATCAATGTAAATTTTGTTTTTTGTTGGTAAACCGAGTAAGCCTCAACCAAAAAAAAAAAGGAAAGAAATTTAAGACTTGTGCCAAAATGGGGTCAAAAGCGTTCCTTTTGACAGAGAAAGACGTCAGGTCTCCATCTGTATGATATCTCCTGTAGTACAATATAAATTAATGGTGACACACGAAAATAATATAAACAAAACTTCTCTGGTGTCAGTTCATTAACATTTGAAGACGGAATACTGAATGTGAACAACTGGAGGAAGATTGTGGCATCGCCTGAATGAAATCGTCGTGCACAACTTACCTGGCTAAATGCATTTGTAACTGTTTTCTTTCGAAGTCATACATTTGCATACTTCTATGTAACTTACATAAAAAGTTTTCAAAATATATTATACCATTTTTCACTATAGGAAAAAAAACTTTATGAAGCATGGGTCATATAGTTTAAGCTCTCTGAAGTTTCCGTGACAATCATCCCTACAACTCAACCTGGTTTAGATTCATCCTGTTATGTGCTATGTGTACTTTCAGAAGGAAAAAATTGCAAAATTTTGTCCCACATCAAATTAAATTTAGGTTGTAACTTTCTAATTGTTGCATGGCACGAACTTGAACTTATGTATCCCCAAATGTGCTCAGTAAGCTGACAAAATTTTATGTTCCCTTGTTCAGAATCAAAACAAAAAAAATATAAACACAAGTAGGGGTCTCTTTCCATACTACAGAGATATTTTCAGGCAAAAAACATTATAGCTGTAGCAGAAAAGGGGGTTGGAAAGGGGGGGGGGTGCTTATTGTTTTTGTCAGGGGTAAATGCTAATTTACAATGTTGATGGGTCCTGACATTTTGCAAAAAGAAGGATTTATGTGTGTTTTCCACATTTAGAACTTTATAAAATATCTCCTTACTTGGCACAAGATTACATCATGCCATAAATTCAAGGCAAGGATAATTGTTGAGCTAACGAGTTGTACTAAGGCATGTCACAGTACCATTTATCACCTCTCGAGGGATTCCCTTTATATTTAACAAGGACACTTTATTCAAATTTATCACAGGTTGGTACATTTTCTGTTCGCAGTTGACCTTTTGTGTCAGTTAATCTATCAAAACGTATGTTTATATATGAAGTTGTCATAATGTGACACTATTTTTGAGCTTGTAAACCCTGGGCATTGAGATACCCAATAATTATCTGATTTCACTCTCTGTTGGGGGTGTCCCCGGTGAGCCTTTCTTAATCTAACAGGACTGTGTGATTTAGGTCTATGTTTTGATATACTATTGACACTACTGATTATCATTTAATGGGTTTCGCACCCTGTAAACCCAGCAATATACAGTTCTGTCTTGTCATATTCCTATTTTGCTTCACAGTTTTCGTTTTTTATATGTGGCAATCAGACAGGGCTAGTGTTGCACTCTGACCTGTGTAAAGACCCCCAGTGACAAAGCAAGAATGGAGACTGAAGGGGTCTTCTCTGCATTTATCATTTGTCAAAAGGCTATTTAGACAACTCGTGACACAAACAAATTATTAGGATCACTAAAGCTTTAAATATTCTGAATATTAAAAGTGTATTTACCTTTAATTTGCCTAGTCTTTACTCTAAAAGATTTGCAAAGGAAATGGTGAACTGATCTATAGATAAAAAGTTTCATTTGTGTTATGAATTACATGTATAAATGGTTCATCAAATACTTATAATTACATTATATGTGAATTTTCATTCTCTGTTTATCTATTAAGACACATGGTGCTTGGTTTATTAACTTCAGCACAATTTGCACTTGTGTACCTCATGCAAGTGTACTGTGATTTATTTTGTAATATGTTTTAATTTATTTCTTTACAGATCTCAAGACAGTCCATTGATGCCGTAAAAGATCATTTCCGAGAAGAAATGACAAAACCGGACTGGCAACTCGTGGTGGAAATGAAGAAACTGTTCCAGATTTTATGAAAATCGAGCAATTTTGATTTTGCTTGGCCACTTTATGAGAAAATACTTAGAGAACATTGGAACCTTGTGGTCTAACCACGATCTCCAAAACACACTCAACAAGGAAACAAGTAGTCCAAATATCAAACAGGACTCATTTACATAATTACAGTTTTAATCACCACTCTTTTTCTCTCTTCTTTTTTTTTTTAAAGAAATATAAAATTATACAATGAAATTATTGAGTCAATTTCTGACAATAGGCTTTTGTAAAACAGATTTGTGTGTTTTTCTGGCCTGCATTGCTCGCTATTTGGAATTTTACATACATGCCTCAGATGGTAATCAAAGTACATTATGAGTAAATTATTGTTTGAAATGGATGGAAAGATTTATTTATATGTAATAAAATTAAGATCTGAAAACTTCTGCATTTTCATTTTATACTATCCTGTTTTCTCAGGAAAAAAAAACAGGTATTTGAATAGTCAGATTGAAAAAAGCAGTCTAAGATATTCATAGGTACAGCTAAGCATAAAGGAATTGCACAGTGTATGTATCCATGACTGACTGAGGTGACTAGAATAGTAGATGTAGGCAATTTACAGCAAAGCCAAGGTTGTATGTTAGACATATACTAAAATATTATGGTACCTTTGTGACTGGTTACAAAGCACTTGCCTACATTGAAAATTTATTTTCCCTTTGATTGAAATGTCGCACTTTCTCGTTGGTTTCACAACTGCTGGCAATATTTCTATGTCTGGCAGGTGAGAATTATAATTTGTATTTACATTTCGATATTAGAAATCGATTATTAGTATTATTTCGGAAACCACTGTCCATAATGTTTTCTTTTTGAAGTTGGAGAAGCAGCCCTTTTCACAAATGACATCAGATTTGTTGTGTCTGCATCACGTGATGGTAGCATTGAGATTCGCTAAAATGAGGGAAGAAAATGTCTGAAATTAATCACAAACATATTATTAAAAGTAAAGAAAGGTGCCTCAAAGATTTTTCAAGCTTAGGCCATCTTGGAAAAAAATTTGCTTGCCCTCTCCCAACTATTAAGGAAAAAAATTGGGTAGGTAGGGGGGATTTTTTTTATTCAAAAACACTTGTGAATATGAAGTTAAAATAGATTAATGGGATGAGAAAACTTCAGAATTAGTGAAAAAAAAATAATTGTTTCCAGGAGGTTAAAAAATGTTTTGAGTCAGGCCATTTTGAGTCAGTTGGTCGAGAGAGGGCAAACAAACAATTTTTTTTTAGGGTGGCCTTACTTGATGGTAAAATAAGAGATTGATATTAATTTTAAAGAGTTTGTGTGAAATTGGACTAGACTTGATAGTCGAGTCATTGGGACACTTAAACTATAAACAACAACAATCATCTTAATCATCGCTTCTTGCACACCCGAGGGGGGGGGGGTCCCACCATTTTAAGAATTGTCTTTTACTCTTGATTTTGACAACCACCCTTTTTGTTGCAGTGAGGTGGAAAGTGTGCCATGTTTGTGCATTTAAATCTTGCCAAAAACTAAGGGATCCTAACCCCTCCCGAGTTTTGGAAGTTTATTGTTTTTCTTCCCTTGATGGTCAATTTTCTTGTGCTTGTTGCTACAGGCCTGTCTTGTGTTTATGTCTCACACACTATGATCCTCAAGAAAATAAATCACCTATTAGGTTGGTCTTCTATAAGATTGATCAACCTGATATATTTCCGTAGACAGTCGGTAACAAACATGGTGTACAAATATTGACTTGGGTTGAGGGCAACATTAAATTTGTTAGCCTCCAAAAGAAGAAATATTGTCCGACACATAGCAGAAGGAATGTTTTCATCCTGAGGGGGCTAACATAATCATAGCTGCAGAACTGTAGCTCTCTGGTTGAGAAAGTTTGGACAGGTAACTCTGGTTTATCTGTCCGAATGTTCTCAACCAGAGAGCTACAGTTCTGCAGCTAACATAATCAATGTTGCCAAAATGTGCAGTTTATTGTTTTGTTGTATGAAAACAAAAACAATTGTTACAACCTTATAAAAATCTTTCTTTATATTATTTCAAATAAAAGTCCAACATAGTAGATGTTATTTGCATCGGTCCAACAACTTCATTGTTGACCAGTCTGTCAGTCCAATATAAGAATTGTTAGACCGCAACGTCAGTGCTACTTCACAAGTAAATATTGTTGATACAGAAATAGCCGAAGTTTCAAGAGTTACAGTATGCTATTTAAAAGAAGGCTTCACATGTTTTGCGGTAAATAATTTCTGATTTTATGATTTTTTTTTTCATTTTTTATTGTATCATTTTTATTGATAAAGCCAAAATAATACTTATAAAGAAATTGTTTATATATTGAATAAATTTGTTAAAAGATTTTCATTTTAGTGTTCTATCTAAAGTGAAGGGTATATCAAAACAATTACGGACTGGGATTCGAACAACATATCTTTTGTTGGACCTGCATGAAGTTGACAATGTTGCCCTTGGCCTGCAGCCTCAGGCAACATTTTCACCTTCAAGTCCAACAAATCATATGTTGCCCTCATACCCAGTCAATAATTGTATATTACTATTCAGAATCAAAATCACTGAAAATGTGGGGAAAACTCTCTTTCCTGGTCAATAGAGGAAAATGAAAATTAACATTTTTTGGAGTAGCTAATATCAATTATGTTGCCTGTTTCTCTACATAGAGACTACATTGTATTCTTTACTGAATATGTTTGTTGCATTAATTTGAATTATCCATATTCAAAATACAGAGCAATTAAAACATTGTAATTGATCTATAAAAAATAGGATTATAGGAAATTGACATTTAAAAAAAAAAAGTAATTCTAGGGCCTTCGATCAAGCATGAGATATAAGGAAAAGGTCACCAGAATACAGAATTCCTTGACAACAATGTATAAAGGTGTAAGGCTCTTCAAAAAAAGCTAAGGAAGTGATCCACATGTGTCTACTGGGATAACATCTTTCAAAAACAATCTATTCGATCTCTTCTTTTCCCATACTGGCCTATCTTGAGCCATCTGGTCATGCCAATGCAGTCATAGGAAGTTTTATAATAGTAAAGGAGGCGACCCCTCGACCGTTCAATAGAAAATATTAGTGTCGCTGAATGGTCAGTATTAAACATTGAAAGGACAGAATGACAGGTGGATTTGCGTGTAGGGACGGAAGGTCAGTCCGGCAGGCGTGGGAACGGAGCGTGGCATCATCTGGCTTAAGACGGTCTGTTTTGTCAGTCGAGCGCGTGCACACCTGTCCCCGGCTGCAATTGCAGACGACTTGCTCAAGCGATCACAGACGACCATGCAGGTACAAAAACTGGATGGAAAATGAGAGCGTTGTTGGTTTTCTTTTGTACTACTTCCCTAGACTAAAATAAAGAAAATTAAGCTGTACATACTCCTAGAATCATTATATTGTATTTTTTTTTATTTATTTAATCAGCGTTGACATTAGGATAATGATGATTAGTACATTAACAATCTAGTATCAAAGCAGATCATATAACTTTAAAAAGAAAGAAGAGGGATATGGAAGACCTCTGAACTGCTGAAGAAGCGCAAACGAACAAGAGGTAAAAGAAAACATTTAAAAATGTTTTAAATTTGTTCTGATGATTGTTTTGAGGAAGGAGTGTTTTTCAGTCATTATTTAAAATTTGGCATGAATATCTAAAAAATATATTCACTTACATGTATGTTTATTTTTTTTTTTATTTAAGTACTCTTGGAATATCTATAAAAGTCAGTGTACTGCTTTCAGTGACTAATTATTTAACTGAAAAGTGTTTTTCTTAATAAAATCAAAATTAATGTAATTTGCAAAATATACCCGGAGGTCCAATGTTTTAATCATTCGTAAAGCGGCTATTATTTTTTTTTTTTATCATAAATAGCGTACTGTGAATTAACTGTCCCGTTTGGTAATCGTTAGTGGAAGGTAAAGAAGGTCCATCTCTTGACTATATTGACTAAAAGCTGGTATGAACAAGATGAAGAGAGGACAGTGATTTATATTTTATTGAAACATAACAGTGTTGTAAGTCTGGTCAGGTAAAAACATCGTGCACTTTCTATTAATAAAAATAACTAATATTTTCTTATCTCTGTGATAATTTAAATTGCGTCCACGCCAGGATATCTAGGTCACTCTAGTATTTTTGGCGGGCCCTTTTACTACAACGCATATGCTGCATCTGAATTGAATTTTCCATAAACAAATCTATTTTAAAAATGTGCATTTGACGATTATTTGCATAACATAATGGAAATATAACTATGCTTCGCAGAAAATCGAGTCATTGGAGCGTTAAACTGTAATTTACGTCTTGCGAGCGATATATGAATGAATATAACTCTCATTGATATTTTGCATCCTGTTCCCCCCTATGAATGAAAATGAGCTAACCAGGCCGGAAGTCCACGGGATTGAGAAGGTCAGGGTGTCGAATTACACACAACCTATGCCATATACGGATTTTGAAGCCATAGGTAAAGTCAATTCAACGTATTTACCTGAAAGACAGTGCTCTAGATTTGATAATTACTTTCCATATCTATTAACGATAAATGTCGTCGATCTTTCTCGCTAATGAACGTTTTTTTTCTGTTGGTAGATTCGCCTAAAGCACAGTTGTTTGGTTGGCCGCATAACTTTTTTCACCAAGGGAGTAAGTAGTATTTCAGCTGCACGCAGATAGCGGGCGCGATTTCTTCGTGAGGAATTATATCTTTTTTGCTGTGTGAACACGGGATGTGAATGTTTTCTTGGTTGAGGCGGGAGAGATGATTGGGTTTACGTCATTGTAATTTACTTGACATAATTTTATTGTCGTCTATCTTTCAGTATTTTGAGACTTGGATAAAAACACGAACGTTGCTCTGTGGAATACACTGGAAAGGGTATGTTGTTTTATAGCAATTGTTTTTTCTCATGTCTACATTTTTTTTTTAAAAATATGTATTTGATAATTTTAATTTTTTTCACCAAGTTCTTGGGGAAAATGACATGAAGGGAAAAAGTTTAATTTGTAGTGTAAGCTT